TCCTCCCCTCTCCTGAGCGCCCCCATCTCCTCCTTCTCCCCTCGTCCTGTTCCCTGCACTTTCTCCCCATGTCTTCCCCCTCCCTTCTCTCTTCCATCTCTCTTCTCTCCTCCCTCCCTCTTCCTGTGAGTTCTCGCCTCTGAATCTCTCCTTTTCTTCTTCTCATCTCCCTTTCTCTGTCTTCTCATTTCTCTCTTCTGTCTCCCCCTCTCCATCTTATTCCTTTTTCTCCTCCATGAATCTGCCCCCCCCGCCCCCCAGTCCAGGGGTTCTCCCCTTCCAGCAGCCTCCCTCCCTCCCTCCCTCTGTGCCTTGTCTTCACCCAGCCTCTGTCCAGGCCCCCCCTCATCCCTGCCCCCCACCCCTCTCCCACCCCAGGGCTCCCCTCTCACTCTGCGCCTCCCTCTCCTGTTCCCAAAGCGCTGAGGCTCCCAAGTTCTGAGCGGGAGGGGAGCCACCAGGGGTCCTCGCGGGCTTTGTGGAGGCGGCGGGGCGGCCAAGCCAGAGCCCTGGGGTGGGAGGACCCCTGTGACCCCCATTTTCTCTCTTCTCTGTCTGTCCCGGACGCTGGACACTGCCTGGAGGAACCGGACCTGCCCCAGGCCCAGGACGCAGCAAACGGAGAACAAGCTCAGAGACTGGGAGCAAGCTGCCTAAAGACACACAGCACGTGAGTGGCAGGGCCAGGGCTGGGCGGGCCCCCGGGGTGGCCGGGAATGGGCTCCCTCACTGCTGACCCCTGGATTCCTGGCTGAGCTCACCGAGAAGAGGGCTACTCCTTCCTGCTCCATCCTCCTGCCCAGCCCCCACCGCCTCCTCCCCCCCAGGCCGCGGGGAGCAGAGCAGCAGCGGGGAGGACCTGGCCGGGCTCTCCCTGCAGAGGAGACAACAGGCGCCCAGTGTTCCCGGGACCGCATCTGCCGGGACCCAGGCTCCGTGGGAACCCGACCTTCCCCGAAGGACCGGACGCCAGCGCCCCCTGCTGGGCGCGTCTCCCCGGGAGGGGTGCCGCCGGGGTCGGCTTGAGGCCAGAGACAGTCTCGGCGCGAATTCCTCTGCCTCCACCTAGCGGCAGAGGGTGGAACTGCAACCCAGCTGTATTAGACATGGGACTGGTGCCAGCAAAAAGCAGGATGGGGAGGGGGCGCCAGTGGGGAAGGAGGGGGCAGGGAGGAATCCCAAAATTCTGTAACAATAAAACCTCTTACTCCTAGTCAATACGTACACAGCATACTCGGCATCATACTCAGCTTCCTGTGCGTGTGCCAACTTAACCCTCTGGACTTCCAGTCATTCTGGGGGTACAGTCTCTCCTGTGTTGCCATGGAGATGCATACGGGACTGTATGGGAAACAAAGGAAGGTGGGATTTGGTGTACAGTTTGCTTGGAAGTCTCTAAGAATTGGGACAAACTGAGTGTGTTTCCTTTGTAATGACAGTTACAATCCTTACTGAATGGAAGTGGGTGCAAAGGTGAATGACAGCTAAAGGGGCCCCAACAATTGGCCCCTGGTCCTCACCATGGAGTCCCATCTGCAAGATTTGCTTCCTGTACAATTGCTTCCAGAAGCCACATGCTACAGTGCGCCATTTTGGGTAGTAAAGAGGCTTTTAAAAATACTAAAATTAGGCATAAACTCTTTAAAAATATTTTCTTGATTTAGTTTTATATTCTTGTGCTCTCCTGTGGTTTCAGCATTAGTTTATTTTATTTTTAAATATATTTTTATTTATTTTGGATAGAGGGCTAGAAACATCAATGATGAAAATCAGTGATGGGAATGTGCCCTAACTGGGAATCGAACCATGACCTCCTCGTTCTTAGGTCAACATTCAACCACTGAGCCACACCAGCTGGGTGTCTTAGATATCTTTAAAAAGTTGTCAAACCCTATGCTAAGGACCCCCAAATGCCAATGCGAAGCTCTAGGCTGGGGAAGGGGTTCCCCGATGCCAGAGTGGGTGACATTCTGTAGGGCGGAGAGGGGCCTCCAAGGGGTGAGGAAGGACATAGGGAAACGGGCAATCACTGAGTTACCTTGTAGGTGCCCCCTCCCCCCTCACATCAGAGGTCAGGAGGCTGGGGAGGCTGGGGTGGGTGTCCAGGAGGAAAAATGAGGGCTGAGCTCAGTGGAGAAAGAAAAGAAGGGGCAGAGCAGAAAGGGGGTGGGGGCTGTGGGGAGGCGGAGAGGGCGAGAACTGTGCCTGCAGCCCCGCCTGGTGGCAGCTAAGTGACTCCAGGCCTCAAAGGCCCCGCTGAGGGACTGGGACTTGGTCCTGGGGGCGCTGGGCAGCCACAGCTGTGAGCAGGAGGAGTGGGGTCCGCGCAGCGGGCAGAAAGCCCCCATGAGGGGGATGGACGGAGAGGGAATGGCGGCGGCCAGGTGGTGGGCTGATGGCCCAGGCGGGAAGGATGAGCCCAGGGCTGTGGTCACGGGGACACGGTGAAGGGAGGAGGCAGGAGGAACGGAGGCAGGGAGCAGCACTCCGGTCTGCGAGGCTGGTAGGTGGCGGCACCACTCGCTGGAACAAAGGCCCCCAGCAGCGCTGATGGGCGACGGTGGCACCGGCTTCCTCGGTGGTTCCTGAGGCACGTCCAGGGCAGCAGCTGTGGGTCCGGAGACCAGCAGGGTCTGGGCGGGAGGCGGGTTTGGGCATCATCCAGGAAGAGGTGCTGTTCGGAACCTCAGCGGGGCTGGGCGGGGACTGACGCCCCAGCAAGTCCCCACCCGGCAGTGCGGCCGCACCTACACGCAGGAGCAAAGCCACGCAGGTGCCTGGGGATTCCCACAGGAAACTCAAAGGGCCACTGATGGGCCCGAAGAAACCCATGTGAGCCAGTCCACAAGTGAGGACCCACTTCATTTAGTTTTTAATATATTTTTATTGAGTTCAGAGAGGAAGGGAGAGAAACATCAGTGATGAGAATCATTGATCGGCTGCCTCCTGCACGCCCCACACTGGGGGCCACGCACGAACCCCGGGCATGTGCCCTGGCCAGGAATCGAACCATGACCTCCTGGTTCATAGGTCCACGCAACACGGCCGGGCTGAGGACGCACTTTACATCAGAGACGGAAACCTCTCCAACTGATGTCCAGTGGGGGAGGGGGAATGAAAGCAACACACTTTTGCAAAACTATTGACGCACACAATGGGTTGTCTATGGAGAGTCCCTCCAGAACAGTTCCCCGGACGGGCCAGGGCGGGGGGGGGGGGGGGCGTGGGGGGGGGCAGTGTTGGCCGGGGAGAAGGCTCTTTGCTGTGGACCCTTCTGTACCTTCTGAGGTTCATGCTGTGCCCCCAGATACTCGCCAATAAACGGAGCCAGGAGCGCGCGCTCCAGGGTCAGGCAAGAAGCGGAAGTTTAGTAAGGACAGAGCCCAGGGAGCCGGACAGCTCAGACAAGGACTAGAACATTCCACACCAGAACTGTGGCCACTTGAGAGCGATCAACAGGCTTAGAGGACAAGGGGGGAGATAAATAAAGACTCAAACTGCAGTCCACTAAAAAATGACAAGCCCCGCCCTGACCGGTGTGGCTCAGTGGATAGAGCGTCGGCCTGCGGACTGAAGGGTCCCGGGTTCGATTCCGGTCACGGGCATGTACCTTGGTTGCAGGCACATCCCCAGTAGGGGGTGTGCAGGAGGCAGCTGATCGATGTTTCTCTCTCATCGATGTTTCTAACTCTCTATCCCTCTCTCTTCTCTGAGAAAAATCAATAAAATATATAAAAAAAAAAAAAAAAGACGAGCCCTGCCCAGTGCGGCTCGCTGGTCGGGCGCCATCCCATGCAGAGAGGCTGCTAGTTCGACTCCCGGTCAGGGCACGTGCCCGGGTTGCAGGCTGGATCCCCTGTGTGCGGCGTGCGGGAGGCAGCCCATCAATGATTCTCTCCTCATGGATGTTTCTCTCTCCCTTCCTCTCTTAAACCAATAAAAAATATATTAAAAAACCAAACTGGTGAAATAGCCCCAGTGCTGACAGGTGTGTCACACAGACACTGAGGAAACGTGAGGGTGGGACCCTTGGGCCGCTCAGGCCACCTGTCACCGCGCAGGGCAGGTGGCTGCCTGTGGAGGAAGAGGGGTCGAGGGAAGGGCCGCAGCTGGCCGTCCAAGGGCCTCAGAAAACAGGGGTCGGCAACACCAGGCGACTCCCAAGAGGACTTCCGACGTAAACGCCACTGAGCAAAGGCCAAGTTCCCAGACAATCCAGTGCCACCTCGCTCTGCCTCATTCTGAGAGGCTGAGCCTGGGCGCCTGCCGGCGAGGCTGTGGGAAGGGGACTGGAGGCAGCTCGGCGACATGGATCCGGCGGCAAAGGCCATCCGCCCAGCCTTCCGGGTCGGGGATTTGTGTTTTCCTGTTAGTCCTCACCCAAGGATCGTTTTCCCATCGATTTTTAGATAATGGGAGGAAGGGGGTAAGAGAATCATCAATATGAGACACATTGATCAGCTGCCTCTGCATTCGCCCCGACCAGGGCCAGGATCAAACTTGCAACCCAGGTATGTGGCCCTTGACTGGGAATCAAACCCAAGACCCTTCAGGGTGCAGGCCAATGCTCTAACCACTGAACACACCAGCTGGGGCGCAGGGTTTTATCTTAGTTACACCTGCATGTCCCTGGTTAACTGAGCACAGGGGCACCCTTTGGGGAGCACAGGGACCAGGCCCCTCTGGGCACCAGCCAGGAAGTCCGCAGGAGCGAAGCCAGTGGCAGGCGCGTGTGGAGTTGATTCTGTGACCAGCGGGGAGATCAACAGCGCCCCCAATGGCCTGTGCTCATCAATCTCCAGAAGGAAAATCAAGGGGTAAAAGTGAGGGGGGACACCTTCCCACCCCACGCCTCACGCCTCACCTGCTCATGAAAAGGCCTCTAAGCTGCCAGTGACCCCACTTCCAGTCACGCGTCCCCAGGAAACAACACACACACAGGGGTGGCCACGAGCTCCCTGTGGGGCTGTTAACAACCACAGGAAGCGGGAAGCGAGCGAGACAGTGAACACTGGGGACCAGTTTAATCAGGACACACAGCGCGGAGGAGCGTCCTGCAGCCATGACAACAACGAGGGCCATCTCCTGGGGTTTCCGCATAATTCACGTGAACACGGAGATTCAGCAATGCTACACACGTGCACACACATGCACCAGGGGCCAGGTCCACAGTGCACTTGGCTGCTGGAAGTGTAACTTTCAAACCTTCATGTATTTCAGTGTATTCTCAATGGTTGTAACCAGATAAGCTTGGGGGGGGGGGGGGCGTAAAGGCAGAGGCCCAGCGTCCTCACCCGGAGCCCGCGGCCCAGGGAAGGCAGCGGCGGCGGGAGTGACGGCCGGGGCTGCGCACGGAAGCCGTCTGCTCTGTGCTGACGTGGACACGGGGCCTGGCATCCTGGGCAGAAAAGGGGCAGCAGGCCCGAGGGCAGGGCCAGGGAGGAGCGGAGCCAGGCGCCCGCGCCCACGCCCACGCCAGCCCGGCCTGCTGTGCCCTCAGGGCACAGGGACAGGCGTGTGGCCCAGCCGGAACCAGGGTGAGAACAAAGGCGCGGAGCTGGAGAGCTCCCGGACTGCAGGGCTTGGGGTCCTGGGGGTGACGGGACACGGGGTCAGAGGGAAGCCTTGGGGCCACGGGGGCAGCAGGGCCAAGAACCCCACCGCCCTCCAGACAGGAACACAGGGGCCCCCGGGGGAGGGGCCAGCGAAGCCTTTTGGGATGAACAAGGCCCAGCTCTCTGGGCAGGAGGGAAGCCCCGCGCCCCTCACCGGCCACTGCCCCCTCCGCCACCCCCACCCCCACCACCCCCCTGGCCCCCGGCATCCGGTGCTCCCGACATCATGAGGAACAGGACGACAGGAATGATGTACATCCACTGTGGGCAGACAGGACGGGCAACGGAGAGAGAGAGAGAGAGAGAGAGAGAGAGAGAGAGAGAGAGAGAGAGAGGAGGTGAGTGTGAGCAGTATCCCCCAGGGCGGGGAAGGGGGGCTGGCGTGAGGGGAGGCCGCGTGAGGAGAGGGCCCAGGTCCCCTACGTCACTACGGGTCAGGTCGGGTCGGGAGGGCAGGGGGTGCACGGTGGGCAGAGGCGGGGGGCTGGGTCCTCACTCAGGCCTCCAGACTCAGGCCTCCTGCGGAGACGGCGCGGGCCCCGGGGCGGCCGGACGCAGGGCTGTGAGCAACACGGCCCCCCCCAGGATGAGGTGCCACTGAGGAGGGAGGGGCGCGGGTCAGGGCCAGTGGTGGCCGTGGGTCCTGCAGCCCTCGGGAGGGCAGCCAGGAAGGCAAGCTCTCGGCCTCTCTGGGCCTGTTTCCTCACAGTCCCAGGCTGGGCTATCCTCAGGCCCTGCGGGCACGGCGCCCACACGCAGGGCTCAGCATCCTCCCACCCGCAGCCCCGGCCGCACCCCTGGCGGGCCCACCCCCTCAGCCAGCACCCCCAGGTCCCGGGACCCTGGGCCTCGGGGCTTCTCTGGCAGCGCAGGCCTGGCCCCTCCTCAGCTCCAGCCCGGCCTCGGGCACCTGGCCCAGAGCACTGGCACCCAAATACTCCTGCCCAGAGCCGCCTGCTCCTGGACCTGGGGGACCCCACCAGCCACCCTGTTCCTCTTAAACCTGCCACCCCATCTCCAGCCTCACAGCCCTGGCCCCGGCCCAGCCCAGGCCGCGTCCTCTCCACTGGACTCTCGTCCCAGCTGCTCCTGGGGCTGCCCGCACCCCTTCTCCACCGGCCTCTGTTCTGACGCTGCCTCTACCCGACTGCCCCACCCGGGGCCCGGGCGCACCACCAGCTCCGAGCCGGCCACGCCCTGGGCCTGGGCGCCTGGGCTCCAGCCCTCTCAGCTCCGTCCAGGCCTAGGCTCAGCCCAGGGCCAGGGGGACATGCACGGAGGCCCGAGGCTGCACGAGGGGCCGGGAGGAGGAGGCGCAGGGCTTGTCAGGAGGGGGCAGGGCAGGCGGAACCCCACTCACATATTTGGCGAAAAAGGACTTCTGCTCCTGCGGGTTCTTGGCCTTCTGGGCCTGCTCCATCTCCAGGCGCTCGATGAAGGCCGCCGTCTCTGGGCTGCGGGGGTGGAGGTGGTGGAGGAGGAGGAGGAGACGGGTGAGGGGCTGAGTCAGCCACCCCCAAGCCGGCGGGGCTGGGTACCCGTCCTGCCCTCACCCTGGGGCCGTGACCGGCGGCTGCAGCTGCACAGACGTGTTGAACAGCTCCAGGTCCACGTCCTCCACCTCCTGGCCCCGGCAGCCCCCGGGGTGCGTCACCACCGACAGGCCCACCACGTTGCCGGCCACATCCACATGCAGCGTCAGCTGATCCGAGAGGTGCGACTCAACCAGGGAGCACTGCGGGGAGGAGGGGAGCAGGGGCTGTTGCCCAGGCCTGGCCCGCACTGGGATGCCCGCCCCCGCCTCCGGCCCCGCCCCCCGCCCCGCCCCGCCCCAGCCTCCGGCCCCGCCCACCGCCCCGCCCACCGCCCCAGCCTCCGGCCCCGCCCCCGCCCCAGCCTCCGGCCCCGCCCACGGCCCCTCCCCCCGCCCCAGCCTCCGGCCCCGCCCACAGCCCCTCCCACCGCCCCAGCCTCCGGCCCCGCCCACAGCCCCTCCCACCGCCCCAGCCTCCGGCCCCGCCCACCGCCCCAGCCTCCGGCCCCTCCCACCGCCCCCGCCCCAGCCTCCGGCCCCGCCCACTGCCCCGCCCACCGCCCCAGCAGCATCTTCCAAGCTTCCGCGGCCGCCTGCCCCTCGGGCACAAGCCCAGGCCACCGCCCTGCGCTGCCCCTCAGAGAACCCACCGCATGGACGCGGCTGGGAGGCCTCGAGGACAAGGCCAAGTCCTCCCCGTCCATAAACACCGGGGCCGAATGGTGGCAGCCGGGCCGGACGGGTGGGAAGAACAAGGACAGAGGCCAGTCCTCGTCCCTGACTCACCGCGGGGACGAAGGAGGAGACGTAGCCGCCAGCTTCTGGGCCGTCAGGGGCGCCAGGCCGCCTCGGAACCCGGACCCGGTACAGGCCGTTGAGGGCTGCCACATCCTGCAGGGCGGGCAGAGGCGGCAGTGAGGGGGACGATGCCAGGACCTGCCAAGCCTAGACAACCCCCCCATCCCCAGTGTGGGGTGTGCAGGAGGCAGCCGATCAATGATTCTCATCATTGATGTTTCTCTCTCTCTCTCCCTCTCCCTTCCTCTCTGAAATCAATAAAAATATATTTTGTAAAAAAACTGGCGGAGGAGAGGGTGTGCTGGGTGGAGGGGCAGCACGGGCCAAGACCCTGAGGCATGCATGCCACACTCTAGGGCACAGGTGTCCCCCCTGCCCGCCGGGCCCCAGTCCCCTCCTCACCCGGAGTCGGCCCCGCTCCTCCTCGTTGAGCTGCCGCTGCGACAGGGACAAGGTGCTGTCCTGCTGGTTCCAGAGTATGGAGCCGCGCTTCCGGAAGTGGGCGCTGTCATCTGTGGGAGCCTGGGCTCAGCGAGCACCCCCACAGCACCCCTCAACCCTTGCTCTGACCAGCTTCCCCAACCCGGGCCCGATTTTCCCACCTGCAGGTGAGGGACACCCCACCACGTCCTCACAGAGCAAGGCAGACGCCCCAACCCCACAGCTCCTAAGCCCTCCTGCCTTGCCAGGCGACCCAGGGACATTCACATAACTGCTCTGAGCCTGTTTGCCCAGCTACAAAATACAGGGACCAAGAGTCCCCCTCCCCCCAAACCCTCCCACCCCCCACCGGGCCATCACAATCAGCCTGGCTTTCTCAGGAAGATACGAGGTCAGACCCAGGTCTAAGAGGCCCAGCTTCAGTGTTTATAACAAGTGCCCCCGAGTCTGGGGCCCCAGGCTGGATTATTATTTTTATTATTTTTTAATCAAAGTTTAAAACAAGCTGATGCTGCAAGAGGAAACTGTTATAAAAATGTACTGAGTGAGCAGAGCCAGGAAGGGAAGCCATGGGGGGGTGGCAATCCGGGGAGGAGCGTGGGGGTAGAGGGGGCGCGCGGGCAGCTAGAGATCAAGGCCTTTGTAAGCTGCAGGGGACAGCACTTGGTGCCACCCGGCCCCCGTCCCGGATGTTACATGGGGAGCTGCTTCCCAGGCTGGATTATTAACCCCTGGGCCACACTGACATCTGTGCTCTGGGGGCATCTGAGTCAAGGCTGTGTAGGCTGGGCCATGGCGTGTGGTGCCCCTCTGTGCCTGTTTCCTCTTCTGAAAAATGGGGCCATCCCTCACACCTACTCCCCTGAATGACTGTTGTGAGGATGTTGGAGTTGGTACACGCAGAGCATCCAACCACTAGTGCAGGGCGCAGGCAATGGGTCAGAGAAGCGCTCTCTGAGGTTATCACGGCTGCTGCATTGGATTTGCCTTATAGTTAAAGGCATAGTTTCTATTCGAGTGCCCTCCCCACACACATCCACCCCCTCCCTCTCCACCCTCCCCCTCCCCCTCCCCCCCCCCCTATCCCCCGTCCCCAGGGCAATGCAAACACCCTCTCAGGAGCAAGGCTGTTCGTGAAGGGAGGGTGTCTCACACTGCACAGCACCCAAACGAAGGTTCCCGACTTCACGGGGCGCTGGGGAAGCGTTCAGGCGAGGACACTGCCGGGACTCACCGATCTCAAATGAGTGCTCCAGCAGCAGCCCCACGGTGCCACAGGCCTCGTCGCGACCTTCCACCCCGGCCTGCGGACAGAGGACCCCAAGTGAGGACCAACAGAGCCCTCGCCCTGACCCCGGGCAGACCGGCATCCTGGGAGAGGAGCCTTATTGTCACACTCATCTCCAAACACTGACGCTTGCCCACGGCTCCACCGCCCATTTCATGAAAATCCAGGATCTGCACGGTCCCCAGACAACCAGAGTCTGCAAGCACGCTAACCTCGTTTCCAAGGCAACTATCCGCGCGGGTCACTCTCACGCCCAGTGTCATTAATGTGCCTGAGTTAAAAGGCACCTGCGCTTCCTTTCCAAGCTAATACTATCCAAGTAGCCTTAACTGCCCCCCAAAAGGAGGGATCCACGCCCTCCTTTTCTCCAAATCTCCACATTTCCCCTAACTCTGCTGCATCCGCCACTCTCGCACCTGCGCAACCTCCCTTCCAGATTTTAATCCCAGATCAAGCCCCGCCCCCCTCATGCATATTCAGTCAACAAACACACACACACACACACACACACACACACACACACACACACACACACACACACACACACCACACACACCCCCCCCCCCCCTCCAAACTCGCGAGAGCCCTCCACCCCGCCTTTTTCATTTTAGCGGCCCGACGTCTGATTCGCCAGCATTCCAGCCGGGCCACACCTCCTCATGCATATTCATGAAGGCAGGTTCCCAGCGTCTGAACGCGGGAAAGGAGAGGCAGTCTGGCCCCGACCGTCACCGCGCCGCGCATACGGGTGCCCAGGTCCCACCCGAGCCCCGCCCCTCCCGCTTCCTCCCAGTTGTGCGGCCCCTGCAGGTGCAGGGCTGCAAGCTCGCCTTCCACGGTGTTTTCACCTCTCTTCCCTCTCGGCCCTGTGCGGCCCCGTTCTCGCCTTCGCCGACCTCAGAGTCCGAGGCTCCCGATTTCTGTCAGCCGCGCCTATGAGTACTCACCCCCCGCGCAGCGGCCCCGGACCGGCAACCACTGCCCCGCGCGCGGCTGGGGGCTGCGGCCGCCATCAGCAAGAGCAGGAGCAGCCGAGTGGCCCTGGCGCCGGCCGCCGCCATTTTGGCCCCTTCCCACCAGCCCACGGGCCAGAGTGCGCCGGGCGCCGCGGAGCACTCTGGGAGGAACGGACCGCATCCCGCCCGCGTGCGCCTGCGCCGGCTCCTCGCGTCTGCGCACTAGTGCCCGCCCCCTACCGGGGCCTGACGTCACTTGGCTGGCCCCGCCCCTAGGGTGACGGCACAATCACCGGCGTCTCCCGGTCCGCTGCGTTGTGACGTCACACTCCGTGGCCACGCCCTCCGTTTTCTTCCCCGGTTTTCTCCCTAGGATGAAGCAGAGACTAGAGCTCAAGACGGCCCTGGCCCTCGATGGAGCAGGTGTAGTGGGACCAGGTGGGTTGGATGGCAGGTGAGGGGTGGAGCCACGCCTCAGGGGCGGGGCCAGGTGAGGGATGGGGCCGGCGATTGGAGACCGACAGCCCGGTACCCCCAACGCTCAGCCTCCTGGAGTAGACACCCCCGAACTGGACCCCCCTAGAACACACCCTCGTTTCAGCTTGTTCCACAGGCAGGCCTGGACGGCTCCAACGCCTCCTTCAGAGCGGGGAGTTCGACCAGCTGCGGGACTTCACCGTCTTTGAGAGCAATTTCGTGCAGGTGTGAAGCCCCAGGACCGCCTGAGCCGCCCCCCTCCTGACTTGGGGAACCCCAGCTCTCCCCGCTTCTGACAACTCCCCCATAACGTCCACCTCCTGGAATCCCTGACCGACCCCTTTCCCCAAACCTGCAGACCTTCAGCTTCTCTATGAAACCTGGCCTCTGACTCCCTTGCGGTTTCCCTGACTTAACACCTGTATGAACTTTGACCTCAGGACATCTGACTCCCGTCTTGGTGTTTCATTCACTAGGTTCATGAACCTTACTTCTTCTTGACCTCTGATCCCTCCCCAATTCTGCACACACGCACACACACACCCCACCATCTATCCAGCTTCTAACCCTTGTCCCCCACCCCAGGTGACCCGGTTAGGAGAAGTTGCCAACAAGGTAACCATGGGGGTGGCAGCCTCCAGTCCGGCCCTGCAACTCCCAGACCTGTTGCTGCTGGCAGGCCCCGCCAAGGACGATGGACGTCTGCAGCTCTTCAGGTGCCTGCCCCACCCCCAGCCCAGCCCGGGCCTCCTTCCCCAGCTCAGGGCACCCTGGGCTCCCTGCAGCTCCTCCTCGTGCCCACATGACCTGAGGGCCAGGAACCTTGGATGGCCGCCCCCAGAAGAACCAGGACAGGGCCGTCCACAGGGGCCAGAAATCAGGGATAGTTAGCGACCAGGGGGAGCAGTCCTCAGCCACGGCCTGGCAGGGGTCAAGAGGATGACCTGCCGCTAGCGCCCACTGCATGCCAAGCACCCCCTGGGCCACTCATCTCTGACGTCATACTTTTATACGGGGGGGCCCTTTAGCCCCATCCTCCAGAGAGAGAAACGGGGCCCAGAGAGGGGAGCCGCCGGCCCAGGGTCTCACAATGGGTCAGGGGTGGGATCGGAACCTCAGGCTCCTCACCATGGCGACCTGTGTCCCACTGCGCACTGCCCCTTCAGGTCTCCGGGTTTTCATGGGAAACGTAATGCAGATTCGACTCCAAAGTATAAAAACACACAAGATATACGTTTCCCCCATCCTAGGCTCCTGCGTCCAACTCCAGCCGCAAATACCCAAACATGCCCATGGGTATCGTGTATTTAGAGAAGTGTTCTGCCAGTGGCTTTGATATTTTTTTAAAAAATATGTTTTATTTATTTTAGAGAGAGAGGAAGGGAGAGGGAGAGATAGAAACATCAATGATGAGAGAAACATGGATCGACTCCCTCCTGTGCACCCCCTACTGGGATCAAGCCCAAGACCTGGGCATGTGCCCTGACCCGGAATTAAACGGTGACGACCTGGTTCGTGGGTCGATGCTCAACCACTGAGCCACACCGGCCGGGCGGCTCTGACTTTTTTATAATTCACTTGGCGGCAGAATCTGATTCTGACCTGAACTAAAGGTGTCTCACAGCCTTTAGTTATCCCTGTCTCTCAGTTTAAAACGTTCCCCAAAGCGGTATCCAGGCGTCTTATGGTGGCCTGGCCTTTTCTACAACATTCCTTTTCTTTTCGGTGCTAATTGTATTCCACCAATTGATCTCCCTGCCCACTGAGCCGTGACCTGCTCAGGGTGGCACAGCGAGAAGGCTTTGACCCCCATAATCTCCTTTAGCACCCTCCCTTCACCACCCCCTTCCAAATAAACATATCATCCACGTCAAAGCATTGAGCTTGCTCTGCAAACTCAGCCTCAAGACTCGCCCTGGCCCCTCCCTGCTGGCCAGCTTACAGCCGGAGTTACTCTGGAACACTTCTTTCTTTTTAAATATAATTTATTGATTTTTTACAGAGAGGAAGGGAGAGGGATAGAGAGTTAGAAACACCAATCAGCTGCCTCCTGCACACCCCCAACCAAGGGACATGCCCTGGACCGGAATCGAACCCGGGACCCTTGAGTCCGCAGGCCGGCGCTCTATCCACTGAGCCAAACCGGTCAGGGCTCTCTGCACCACTTCTGATGGACATCTAGTGTGTGTTGGCCCTTTAACAGTTGCAGGCTCACGCTAGAGGCCACTTTCCCTGCGCTCACTCTGTCAGCAGGATGTCAGTACCCATTTCATATCCACGTGAGTGCAGCTACCAGGTCCCCTTGTGGACAATACACGACTGAACAGACTCTGGGCCCTCGGGCACCACTCTATGGTTGTTTTTTTTGGGGGGGAGGGGGGCCTTCTTGCTGTTCTAGGGAACAGCCTTGAGCAAAAGGCCGCCCTCAGATGACCTGGGTTCAAGTCCTGGCTTCCCCTCTTTTCACTAGTTTTGGCCCAAGTTCCCTACCTGTCTGTGCCTTGGTTTCCTCATCTGGAACATGGGGATGAGGGGAGAGCCCCCATCCAGGGCTGCTGGGGGGGGCGGTAAACTGAGTAAAAGTGCTTAGGACAGCGGTGCCTGGCACAGAGTAAGCTCTCTGTCAATGCCAATGGCTGTTCTTCCATCTTGAGAATATAATCATAGATCGTCCCCCTCTGAGGTAGGTGGTGTCTGGTGTCTTGGGGTTACAGCCAGTGTGGCAGGCAGGGGACATCCATGTGCCCGGGTAGGAGGGCGTAAGACCAAGTCCTAGAGGTAGGCTTGCTGGGCCAGAGGGCGCCTCTGTGGCTCCCTAATGGTTGTGATTAAGAATACAGATCCCGCTGTGTGACCTAGGCCAGCTTACCCACCCTCTCTGGATTGTTTCCTCTGCCTGGGACCTTGAATCAGGCTGGAGGCAGAGCAATTCATTTCTTCAAATACTCAACAAGTCTCCACGGTACTTCGTGTCACTCGGGGTGCTAGGGAAGCAGCAGTGACAAAATCAGCCCCAAATCTCTGCCCTCCAGCTCACCTTCTACTGGGCAGGCAGACGGAATAGATGGCAGTTTGTCCGACGGGATAAAAGGTCTGTGGATCCGAATGGGGGCCCAGAGAGGGGACCATGCGGAGGCCTGCAAGCCTGGACAGGGCTGCAAATAGGCCCAGGATTGCAAACAGACTTCCCTGAGAGAGATGAGGGGGCCAAGCCACGGGGGTGGCTGGAGGGAGATTTCAGGCAGAGGGAACCGCCTGTGCAAAGGTCCTGAGGCAGGACTGAGCCTGGCCGGTTAAGGGAACAGCGCGGAGGCCAGTGTGGCTGGAGCGGAGTGAGCCAGGGAGGTAGGCGGGAGGTGAGGGCAGAGAGGGGACAAAAGGGGCAGACCGTGCAGGACGTCCTGGCCAAGCTGAGGACTTGGCTTTTACTCTGAGCCACGGGAGGGACCTGGGCCAACTCAGGTGTCGACCGGTTCCCTCCGGCGACCGCGTGGGGGACAGACTGGGGCTGGGCGGCCCCCATGGAGGCGCTGGGGGTTGGAAGTGGCGGGATCGTGGATCATTTTAAGGGCAGGGCCATCAGGACTCTGGGGGGGGGGGGCAGGACTGGGTGAGGGTGTGAGAGGGAAAGTCAGAAGCACCTCCAGGCTCCTGGCTGAGCAAGTGGATGCAGTTAAAACCGGGAGGACGGAGAGGAGCGGGTTTGGGGTGGGGATGAGGTCAGAAATGTGGTGGCTGGGCATTTTCTGTGTCAGCTGCCGAGCCCACATCCAGATGGAACTGGATTTCAAGTAGGCGGGTGTCTATTCAACTCAGGGGTTTAGGACAGAGGACTGGCCAGCGGGAGGCACACGTGTGCCTTGTGGGTGCCAGGAGGGGATGGAGAAGATTCAAGCGGCAGAGAGAGTGGAAAGGACTCCCTCCGGGGAGAGAAGGGGGCGGCCAGGTGGGCAACCCCGACTCCCAGGGCGCCAGCTGGCGGCGGGGAGGGGGCGGCCGGGGAAGGCAGGACCTGAGGCGCCCCTTCCGCCCGCCAGGATGATCCCCTTGCAGTTCGTCCAGCTCTTCGTCCACGACAAGAGCCGCAGACAGCTCAAGGTCAAGTTTCAAAACGGCCGCACCTTCTACCTGCAGCTGCGGGGTCCGCCCAGGACCTGCGACTACGAGTTCAGCCAGTGGGTGCGGCTGCTCTACTGCCTGCGCTTCCACGCGGCCCAGAGTAACCCCGAGGAGGATGGAGAGGAAGATGAAGAGGAGAAGGAGGAGTATCTGACTGAAAGGGAGGCAGGGAGGGATGGGGCTTAGAGGAGGGCGGAGGGTGGAGGGTGGAGGGTGGGGTGGAAAATGGGCTAGACTCCTGGGTCCGAGGGAGGAGGGGCCGGGGGCCTGGGCCCCTGGGTCTGAGGGAGGAGGGGCCGGGGGCCTGGGCCCCTGGGTCTGAGGGAGGAGGGGCCGGGGGCCTGGGCCCCTATGTCTGAGGGAGGAGGGGCTGGGGGCCTGGGCCCCTGGGTCTGAGGGAGGAGGGGCTGGGGGCCTGGGCCCCTATGTCTGAGGGAGGAGGGGCTGGGGGCCTGGGCCCCTGGGTCTGAGGGAGGAGGGGCCGGGGGCCTGGGCCCCTATGTCTGAGGGAGGAGGGGCCGGGGCCTGGGCCCCTGGGTCTGAGGGAGGAGGGGCCGGGGGCCTGGGCCCCTATGTCTGAGGGAGGAGGGGCCAGGGGCCTGGGCTCCTGGGTCTGAGGGAGGAGGGGCCGGGGGCCTGGGCCCCTATGTCTGAGGGAGGAGGGGCCGGGGGCCTGGGCGCCTGGGTCTGAGGGAGGAGGGGCCGGGGGCCTGGGCCCCTATGTCTGAGGGAGGAGGGGCCGGGGGCCTGGGCCCCTGGGTCTGAGGGAGGAGGGGCCGGGGGCCTGGGCCCCTATGTCTGAGGGAGGAGGGGCCGGGGGCCTGGGCTCCTGGGTCTGAGGGAGGAGGGGCTGGGGTCCTGGGCCCCTATGTCTGAGGGAGGAGGGGCCGGGGGCCTGGGCCCCTGGGTCTGAGGGAGGAGGGGCCGGGGGCCTGGGCCCCTATGTCTGAGGGAGGAGGGGCCGGGGGCCTGGGCCCCTATGTCTGAGGGAGGAGGGGCCGGGGCCTGGGCCCCTATGTCTGAGGGAGGAGGGGCCGGGGGCCTGGGCCCCTATGTCTGAGGGAGGAGGGGCCGGGGTCCTGGGTCTGAGGGAGGAGGGGCTGGGGGCCCGGATGCCTGGGTCTGAGGGAGGAGGGGCTGGGGCCCGGATGCCTGGGTCTGAGGGAGGAGGGGCTGGGGGCCCGGATGCCTGGGTCTGAGGGAGGAGGGGCTGGGGGCCCGGATGCCTGGGTCTGAGGGAGGAGGGGCTGGGGGCCCGGATGCCTGGGTCTGACCGTGGCAGTGACAGGGCTGGACTCCGAGTCCCGAGAGGGTGTGAAGTCCGTGATGAAGGGCAGCAGGGACTCAGCAGGGCGGGTGTCATGGCTGTGGGGGGCCAGCTAAGGTGGCTGTGGGGGGCCAGCTAAGGTGGCTGCGGGGGGCCAGCTAAGGTGGCTGTGGGGGCCAGCTAAGGTGGCTGTGGGGGGCCAGCTATGGTGGCTGCGGGGTGCCAGCTATGGTGGCTGCGGTTCCCTAACTGGGTGTCTCCCCTTCCAGCCTCTCTCCTTAGGGGCATCTGGCGAGGGAATGCCCGGGCCTGAAGGGTGGAGCCAGCCAGGCCCGACGCCCAGGTCCCGTGGGCCTGGGGAGGGGAGATGCACCCCTCCTTGAAGGTGGGGCCACTGGAGCCCGTGGGGCCCCTTCCTCTGGAGACCCTGCTCCCCGCCTCCCCAGTAAGTACAGGGTCCCCTCCCGCCCCCCTAAATGCAGCTACATCTGCAGCCGCGGCCTCTGAGACAGACTCTGTCCGCAGCTTCGAGGCAGGGGAGCCAGGCTGAACCCACAGGCCTCCTACTTGGGGACCCCGAGTCCCCCAACACGCTCTGGCGTCCCCAGAGGACCAGAGATGGAACTTCCCCACGTGGGGCCGGACAAATGGATGATTAAAGTGAATAAGGATCGGCCACTTCAGAACCAACAGCCCGGGCAGGAGCAGTCTGGCCGTCCTCCCCTATTCACATGCTCAGCGCGGTCTCCCGCGCATCCTCGCACCGTGTCCGGCTCCTTGGGGGGCCGCCCCCCGGAGACCTAGCGCCCCATTTCCCCCGCGGCCCCCTCACCAGGGAGCCTTCCGGGCCTGGCCTTGGGCTCCTCCCCGACTCTTCCCGCAGCATCCGGCTGCCTGGTCCCCACCGATGGGAGCCCGTCTAAGAGGGTGTCTTGGGTCCGCACCCTGACGCTCCGTGGTTGCCATAGCAACGTGCTTGTCCCACTAAAGTGGTTATTTCTGGATGGCGGCCTCTGAGTGGTCTGTTTCATCAAGGGGTTGTCTTAGGGTGGTGGCCACTGCGGCCTGGCTCCCCCCCCCCCGCGCCCCCCCCCCCCCCCCCCGCCTCCCGCCCATCCCGACCAGCCCCTGCCCCGGGAGGAAGGCAGGGCTACAGATCAAGAAGGACAGACACGTGTGTCTCCAGACAAGATTGTTATCTTCTCGGCTCAGTGACAGCTCCTGCAAAGAGCCGCTGTCGGGGGGTGGGGGGGCTCCGCTCAGGCTCAGCAGGCGCGATCCGGGGGTGGGGAGCTCACTGCGGCACTGGGGAGACAAGAGGAGAGGGGGTGGCTGCCGGGGACGCAGGGACCCCGCTTCCCCTGTGCCAGTGCCCCGCCGGCCCTGCCGCCTGCTGGACTCGCTTGGCCAGCAGGGAGCGCCGTCTCCCCTTCACCGCCTGGCTCCCCACCCTCATCTCTGCCGGTGCCACCCCGCGGCCAGGGCTGTAGCTTTGAACCCCAAACTGGGACCATCCCAGCTGAGCAGGGATTTCTGAGCAGCGGCTGGCAACAGGCTGACCCCGGAACCCTGGATGGGGGTCTTTCTGAGCTGATGAACAGCTGATAAAGGGGACGGCGGCCTGGGGGTGTGACTGAGGTCTCTGAGCCCTTGTGGAGGGTCCCTTCCATCTGCCGGCTGTCATCTGGGCCAGGGGATGTCCCAGTCGGGAGGGACCTGGATAGCAGGCTCCCCACAGAGAATAGCGGGGGGGGGGGTGGCGGGCGGGGGGACGAGGAAGCATGTTCTGGGTGGATGCAATGGCACGTGCAAAGGCCCAGGGCCAGGAGGAAGCACGGCCGGTCTGTCCTGCTGCCAACAGCTCGGTGTGGCCGGAACAGCGTGGAGGAAAACGGGGTACATGAGGCCGGAGAGGGGCGGGGGGGGTCAGATGCAGGACCATGACTCCAGGCTGAGGAGCGCCTGGGCTGCTGGGGAGCCCCTGGAGGGCAGGTCACCCCTGGACAGAGTGTCCTCGGGGCCCCGTGTGGGGTGGGCTGGAGAGAGACACGGAGGTGGGTGGCTGCGGGCGAGCATTCAGAAGGAGGAGGACCAACAGCTGGGGCTGTGGGCCGAGGGGGGGACAGCCTGGGGCAGCCTGTGCAGAAGGGAGGCGTGTTTCTGGGCTCCCGCAGCCCCGGGGCCTCTGCCGTAACCCATGTTTGTGTCCACGCGCCTCCCACTGGGGGCCTCAGCCGTCACTTGCTAAGCTCTCCTCACTGGCTTCTTTCTTGTCCTTCAACTCCCCTGGGAAACCTGGGACACTACCCAGGCTGGTCCGGTGCCCCCGCCCCGCCCTCCGACGCCCCGGGCGGCCTCCTCCCCGCCACCCTGCACCCCCCAGCGGGTCTGACTCCCGTAGCTTTGCAAAGGGCACGAGCTCTCACCTCGGACCTCCAGCTTGCACTCGGCCAGCGCCTCCCCCAGCTCGTTGAACGCGCGGCAGGTGTAGGTCCCCCCGTCGAAGGGGGACGGGCGGCGGATGTTCAGCGTCAGGATCCCCTGGTAGTTGGTCATCAGGTACTTGGGGTCCTCCCTGATTTCCATCTTGTTCTTCATCCAGACCACCTTCGGCTGCGGAGGGGAGGGGGGAGGCGGGCAGCTCAGAGAGGGTGCCTGGGCCGTGGAGAACGGGCCCTGGGCGGGAGGTCTGAGTCCTCACGTTGGCTGTGCCGCCTCCTGATGGCCGCATGGGGTGAATGCATGCGTGGAGCCCACGAATGAGCATATAGATGGAGATGGAGGAGGTGAACTAATGAACCCACGGTGTGCCGGCCGGGGCCAAAGCTGAAAATGTGAAAGGCAGCCCTGGCCGGTGTGCTCGATGGTTAGTGTCAGCCCACGAGTCAGAGGGTCACAGGTTCGATTCCCGGTCAAGGGCATGTACCTGGACTGCAGGTTTGATCCTCAGCCTTGGTCACACATGTGAGAGGCAACCAATCGATGTATCTCTCTCTCATCAATGTTTCTTTCCCCCTTTCTCCCCCCTCTCATTTTCACTCTCTCTAAAAAAAAAAATAAATGTAAAAAAATATCCTCTAGCCCTGGCCGGTTTGGCTCAGTGGATGGAACGTCGACCTGCGGACTAAAGGATCCCAGGTTCAATTCCGGTCAAGGGCACATGCCCAGGTTTCGGGCTCAATCCCCAGTGGGGAGCATGTAGAAGGCAGCCAATCAATGATTCTCATCATTGATGTTTCTCTCTCTCCCTCTTCCTTCTCTGAAATTAATAAAAACATATTTTTAAAAAATATATATATCCTCTGGTGAAGATTAACAAAAAACAAAACAACTTGTAAGTCAGACCGGAAGTCAGCAAACTTCGGTTGCAAAGGGCCAGGTAGTCGCTATTTCAGGACAGTGGGCCCTGAGCTGTCTGAGGCCATGGCCAACACACAAGCGAGTGTGCAGGGCCATGTTCCAATAAAACTTTATTTAGAGAAACTGGTGGCAGGTGGGTTTGACCAGCCGGTTAAAAGGGAGCAAATTCCGTGAACTGAGACGAGACAAGCCCGGGAGGCAGAGGGGCTGTGATGGGAGGGGGAGGGGCTCCATCTTGCTGACGATGCCCCTCCAGGATCGCCCGCCCGCCCGCCCCACACGTGCGCGCGCACGCACCTTGGGGTGGCCCCTGACGGCGCAGTTGAGAGCAGCAGTGTAGCCGGCCACCACCACGCGGTCCAGCAGCGGCGTCAGGAACTTGGGAGCCATGCGGAAGTCGTGCTCCTTGTACTCCGGAGGTTTCCAGTTGATCCCTGCGGGCGGGCGGGCGGGCGGGCGGGCGGCAGGTGAACCTGTGAGGCCACTGAGCCCGCTGCTCCCAGCCGCCTCTCCTCTGTCACCCGGTGCCACCAACCTGGGGTCCGGGGCGGGGGGTGCAGAGGAGCCACCACGGCCAGGCCGCCGCCGCGAGGGGGACTGGGCCCTGCGAGGGGAGGGCCTTACCCGTCTTGAGGATCCGGGCCGGGTCCTTGGAGACGCCGGGGGACTCGCTGAGCCCACAGATGTTCTCACTGAAAACCCGGAAAAAGTACTCGTTGCCCACGATGAGGTCGGACACGGTACAGTGGGTTTGGCGGTTGTGTTCATAGACGTTGAACCATTCCTGGCGGGAGGGACAGGGAGGGGCGGAAAAGTCAGGGACACAGACCCGGGAAGGGCGGGGGGGGGGGGTGAGGAAGGCACCCCCACATGTGGGCGAAGCCAGCAAGCCTGCCCTTCGTAGCGGCCGGCAGAGAGAACCACCCAAACGCCCATCCGCGGATGAATGGAGAAGCACAGCATGGCAGCCGCCAAGTCGGGGGCTATCACTGGGCCAGGAAAAGGGAGGAAACCCTGAAACCTGGAGAACAGGAGGCTGAGTGAGAGCAGCCAGGCACCAGAGGCCACATTTTGGGCGATTCTGTTCCCAGGCAACCAAGAGGCAAACCCACAGACACCGGGAGCGGGGTGGGGGTCGCCCGGGGAGTGGGGAGGGGAGGGGAGGGGGTGACTGCTTAGTGGATACGGGGTTTCCTTTCAGGTGCGAAATGTCTCGGGACCAGCCCGGCCGGCGTGGCTCCGTGGCTGGGCATCGACCCATGAACCAGGAGGTCACAGTTGGATTCCTGCTCAGGGCACATGCCCGGGTGGCAGGCTCCATCCCCAGGGTGGGGCCTGCAGGAGGCAGCTGATCAAGGATTCTCTCTCATCATGGATGTTTCTCTCTCCATCTCTTTCTCTCTCTCCCTTCCTCTCTGAAATCAATAACAATAATTTTTTTTAAAAAACGTGTCCCGGGGACTAGATAGAGGTGGCGGTGGCACACCACTGGGAATGTACTAAAAGCCACTTCGAAATCAATGCTTAATGTCGTTATGGGAATTTTACCTCCATTTAAAGAAAGATGCCCTGGCTGGTGTTGCGCAGTGGTTAGGGACCGGCCCTCCCACCAAAGGGTCATGGGTTTGATTCCCAGTCAAGGGCACAGACCTGGAATGTAGGTTTAATCCCCGGCCCTGGTCAGGGTGTGGGAGGCAACAGATTGATGTGTGTCTCACATGGATGTTTCTCTCTCTCTCTCTCTCTCTCTCTCTCTCTCTCTCTCTCTCTCTCTCTCCCCCCGCCCCCCCCATCCTCTCTCCTACCCTCCCTCCCTCCCTGTCACTCTCTCTAAAACTCAATGGGGAAAAATATCCTCAGGTGAGATTAACAAAAAAACAATGAAAAAGAAAGAAAACCCATCATGCACCAAACCTCAGCCCCAGCCCGTTCTCCCAACCTCTTGGGGCCTGTTTCCCCAGCTGGAAAAGGGGGGCGGAAGCGCCTGCTCTGACCCCTGGCGGCTTTCCCGCGCCTTCCCGCACCCCCCCACCCCCAGCTCCCAGCTCACCCCGCCCGCCGGCCCTCGGCCCCTCACCATGGTCTTCTTGTCGGCTTTCTGGATGAAGTACCCGGTGACCTCACTGTTGCCGTCGTCTTTGGGGGGCTGCCACTCCACCAGCGCGTTGGTGCCCCACACCTCCTTCACCGTCACGTTCACGGGGGGCCCTGCCTTCTCTGGAAGGAGGTGGTTGCTACCGGCCAGCCCGAGGGCCCCTAAATGTCCACCCTCGCCTCCTGTCCTGTCCTGACCGCTCAGGCCTGCCCCCCACTCCCATGTCCTCGCCTCCCACCCCGACCCCCCTCCTCTGTCCCCTCCCGGCCCCGGTGCCCGCCCCGCCCCGGCCACGCACCCACGACCCGGATGCGGAGGGTGGCCGTGTCCTTCATGTTCTCGATCTGCACGGTCAGCTCGTACTCCCCCGAGTCCGAGCGGGCCGCCTGGCGCACGAAGAACACGGTGTCGGTGTCGCTGGTGCGCACGTTCACGCGGGAGGCGTCCACGGGCGCCCCGCCCTTCGTCCACACCACCTGGGGCCGCGGCTTTCCCTGGGCAGGCAGCGGGGGGCAGAGGTCGGCCGGGGCCCTCCTGTGGGAACTGGCCCCTGACCCCTGACCCCCGACCCTGACCCCCCGCTACGCACCTGGAAGGGGATGACGAGGTTGATGGGCTCCCCGACTTTGCGGATGAAAGTCTGGCGCAGGTGGCGAGGGAGTCGGATCTTGGGTTGCTCTGCGGACAGACCCCAGGGAGGTCAGCGCTGGGCTTGGGGACCCTCGAGAGGGACGAGGAGACCACGGCGATGAGACTGTCGGGGGGGGGGACCCTAGCGATGGCCTGGGAAGGCCTGGCCAGAAGACACCCGCGTGGTCTGCGGGAGGGCAAGGTCAGGGGTCAGGGGTCAGGGGCGCTCACCCACGATCTCCCTGATGGTGACCGGCTGAGCCAGAGTGGCCGGCTGGCTGCGCCCCGCGATGTTGACCCCAACGACCCGGAAAATGATTCTGGCTCCTGTGGGAAGATCCTTGACGGTGAAGCCACAGCGCTCGACGGGCTCCGTGTTTGCGGGGATCCACTCCTCGGCTGGAGAGAGGGCGGTGCCGGGATCTGCCTTCCGACCGACCGACCGTCCGACCGACCCGCCGGCCCCGCAGCCCCGGCCCCTCCCCGGCCCGGAACTGGCGGCAGCTGACAGTTATTGCGCACCATGACCGGGCTCCACAGATGGGACGAGACACCCACGGGGACCCGGGAGCCCCGCCCCCCGGCCTGCCGGCCACTCACAGTCCTCCAGGCAGTACTCCACCAGGTACCCGTCGATGCCGCCCGCCCCGATCCTGTCGGGGGGCCTCCACTTGAGGGTGGTGGTGGTGTCTGTCACGTCCTCCACTGTCAGGTGCCGGGGTTCACTTGTGGGCGCTGTAAGGATCCAGGGAAAGGGGCGGTGGGGGTAAGTGAGAGGTCAGGGGTCAGCAGGGAGGGTCACGGGTCAGAGTTGGAGTCCCTGGTCAGAGAGGGCCAGAAGTCCATGAGCAAGGACACATCATCGACAATAATTAAAGCAAGATATCCCGGCCCTGACCAGTGTGGCTCAGTGGATAGAGCGTCGGCCTGCGGACTGAAGGGTCCCAGGTTCGATTCCGGTCAAAGGCATGTACCTGGGTTGCGGGCACATCCTCAGTGGGGGGCGTGCAGGAGGCAGCTGATCGATGTTTCTCTCTCATCGATGTTTCTAACTATCCCTCTCCCTTCCTCTCTGTGGAAAATCAATAAAATATATTTAAAAATAAAAAAAAATTAAAAAATAAACCAAGATATCCCGGCCGGCCATGGCTCAGTGGATGCACATCGACCTATGAACCAGGAGGTCACAGTTCGATTCCCGGTCAAGGGCATGTGCCTGGGTTGTGGGCTGGATCCCCAGTGGGGGGCGTGCGGGAGGCAGCCGATCAATGATTCTCTCTCATCATTGATGTCTCTCTCTCTCTCTCTCTCTCTCTCTCCCCACCCCCCCTTCCTCTTCCTTCCTCTCTGAAATCAACTGAAAATAAACGAAAACAAGATATCAAGGAAAAGTGAGGTCTCCGAGGGCGGAGACAGGCGTTAGTCTGCTAGGTCAGAGGTCAACGCGATACTCAGGCGGCAGCACAGAGCGTAGGGCCACGGAGGCCAGGAACGGGGCAGGAGGGGGGGGGGGGGGCTCAGGGCCAATGCGCTGAGTCCTCGGGTGAGAGCGGGCAGAAGCCGGCAGACTCTGTGGGGTCAGAGGTCAGCGACAGCCAGGGCAGGGGTGAGCGGTAGGCGGGGGCCCAGTGAGGGGGCGGGGGGGCCTCACCGATAGGCATGAAGGGCTTGGTGTTGAGGCTGGGCTGCGACACCCCGATGGCATTGACGGCGAAGACCCGCATCTCGTACAGGACGCCCTCGATCATCCTGGTGGACTCGTAGGTCGTCTCGGTGAAGACCTCGAAGTTCAGCTTCATCCAGCGCTGGGAGCCCTTCTTCTTCCGCTCCAGGAGGTACCCTGCCCCGCCGCCAGGCAGAGAGTCGCCGGGGTCATGGAGCGGCCACGGAGGGGTCACAGGCCCGCTGGGGCAGCGAGGGTCACAGGGACAGGCCACGTGGCCCAGAGAGGCCTGAGGCCAGGACTTTCGGGTTTATCTCAAGGTCACCAGCAGCCAGGGTTCACCCGTCATGGGGCCACGGGTCATAAATCCGGGGGTCAGGGCTCACAGAAAATCCCAGCCTATTGCTCTGAGGGAGGACTCCGAGGTTGTCAGGGAGTTTGGCTCAATGGATAGAGCGTCGGCCTGCGGACTGAAGAGTCCCGGGTTCGATTCCCGTCGGGGCACATGCCCCGGTGGCCGGCTCCTCCCCAGTGGGCAGCCGATCAATGATTCTCTCTCATCATGGATGTTTCTCTCTCTCTCTCCCTCTCCCTTCCTCTCTCTGAAATCAATAAAAATATATATTTTTTAAAAAGATGGAAACCAGGTCTGGGGGGGAAGGGGGGGCACCGAGGATGCTAAGGACTCTGGGAGGTCAAAGAGAAACCAGGGGGCCCAGGGGGTCGGAGGTCACGGGAACTGGTGCGAGGCACTCACCGGTGACTGGCTGTCCCCCATCATACTTGGGCGGCTCCCAGACAAGGATGGCCCAGTCCTCTCCGACTGAGGTGACCCGCACCGCCTCCGGGGGGTCTGGGACATCTGGGGGGGGTGGGGGGGAGAGAGGAGGGTCAGGGGGCTCCTCACGGCCTCAGGGAGCCACCCCCAGCTCAGCCCCTTCGGCTCCCCCTGCTCACCCACAACCCGCACGAAGATGGAGGCCACGTCCTCGCCAGCGGGGTTGGCGACCTTGATGGTGTAGCGGCCCTCGTCCGCCCGCTCCGCACTCTCGATCACAAAGCTGCTGCACTCCACCCGCTGCTCGATGCGCATCCTGCCCTCCTTGGCCGAGAACACCTGGGCACAGCGCCCGAGGGCCGTGGGCCGCCTCTCCCCACCAGACCTCCTCAGCCCCCCCTGCCCCCCTGCTCGAATCTCCCCGCGGCTTCCCGTCAGCCCCTCCTCCCTCAGACCCAGGAGTCGGGGGACCCAGTTACCAAGGCCGTGGGCCAGCACAAAGGACCCGTTGGATCTGCACCGGCCTCACTCATCACTCCCTACGGCCCTCCCCGCCCTCCATTGAAAACACCAGACTGGCTCGTGCCAAGACTTTGCAGGCAATGTCCCGACCCACCCACGTATCTCTCTGCTCTACTGTTCTCATTCCTCTCAGCCCTCTGTGCCGCCTCTTCCAGGAAGCCCTCCTGGATGCCCTCAAGGGAAAGTGACGGCCCATCCCCTGAATTCTCATCGCATCGGGTGCCTCCCTGTATCTCAGCCCCATCACCCTGGACTCTGACTATCCGGGCGGGTGTCTGCCCCTCTCCCAGCGCGAGGGCTCCCGGGAGGCGGGGGCTGCGTGGTCAGTGATTGATGCGTGGCTATCGGCGTGGTGCCTGCACAGAGGGCCTGGCAGAAAGGAGAGCTCGGGGGTGTTTGCCGAGGGAAGGGATGAATGAAGACAGAGTCTCTCCCTTTTACAGGAGAGGGAACTGAAGCCCAGAGCAGACACACTGGACTGTCCCAGGGCCTGGAACATACAAGGTCAAAATATTTGTTGAGTGGAAGGAAGGATGGATGGATGGATGGATGGATGGATGGAAGGATGGAGGGTGGAAGGATGGAAGGATGGATGGATGGATGGAAGGATGGATGGGTGGATGGATGGATGGATGGATGGATGGATGGATGATGGATGGATGGATGGATGGATGGGTGGGTGGGTGGATGGATGGATGGATGGATGGATGGATGGATGGATGGGTGGGTGGGTGGATGGATGGATGGATGGATGGATGGATGGATGGATGGATGGGTGGATGGATGGGTGGGTGGGTGGATGGATGGATGGATGGATGGGTGGATGGATGGATGGATGGATGAGTGGGTGGATGGATGGATGGATGAGTGGGTGGATGGATGGATGGATGGATGGATGGATGGGTGGGTGGGTGGATGGACGGACAGGATAACTGGGTTGGCTACGGGACAAATAGATTAAATACTGGATGAGTGGATGGATGGGTGAATTAACCGATTAACTGATGAGTGGGGAGACGGATGGATGGAGAATGATGGATGGAGAGATGGATGGACAGAGCACCCACCATGTGCTGGGACAGTCCCCTGAGATGGACAAACTGAATCTCCAATCTTCAAAAGCACCCTCTGAAGAAGGAATCACAATCCTCATTTTACAGCTCAGAGAGGGAAAGCCACTTGCCTAAAGCTGCCCAGCAGAGCCGAGCGGCCAGGTGGTCAGGGCGCAGGGGAAGCCCCACATACCTCGTCCCCCTTCAGCCAGGTGGCCACAGGAGGGGGCTCCCCCGTGATGGCCACATCCAGCCTCAGCTTGTTCCCAGCCACGACCACGATGGAGTTTTCCGAGGTTTTCCCCGAGCAGTCCAGGTGGATCTTCGGTGGCTCTAGCGGCAGAGACGGGATTCCGGGAACATGGGAGTCAGCAGCGGGACCGTTCCAAAGCCCTCCAGGGGGTCTCTGGAGAAGCTGGGTGGCCCCAGCCATAGAGACCCAGGAGTCCATGCCCTAGCCCCTCCTCCCTCTGACTCGGGCTTCCAGCTCCTCCTCCCTCAGACCCAGGGGTCCAGGCCCAGCCCTCCTCCCTCAGACCCAGGAGTCCAGGCCCCAGCCCCTCCTCCCTCAGACCCAGGAGTCCAGGCCCCCAGCCCCTCCTCCCTCAGACCCAGGGGTCCAGGCCCCCAGCCCCTCCTCCCTCAGACCCAGGGGTCCAGGCCCCCAGCCCCTCCTCCCTCAGACCCAGGAGTCCAGGCCCCCAGCCCCTCCTCCCTCAGACCCAGGGGTGGAGTCCAGGCCCCCAGCCCCTCCTCCCTCAGACCGAGGAGTCCGGCCCCAGGTACCAAAGCCACAGGGTCCCTACCTTGCTTGGGGACGTACTCCACCTTGATTTCTGGTGAACACAGGAGAGGGGATGGTTAGGTCTAAATCCATGGGGCCCGATCCCACCCCCACCCCCAGAGGCAGAGGGGAGGGCCTGGGGTCACCCGGGCCCCGGGGGTGCTGGGGTGGGCTCAGGACCGTGACTGTCCCACTGGTCCCCCCCTGGTTACGCTCTCCCTCATCTTCTGTCTGACTGCCCCCCCCCCCACAGTGTGCACTGAGGGAAGTTTACTCCTGAGGGGGCACTTGGGCCCTGGGGAGAACAAAGGGGCCCCTCACCCAGGAAGTTGAGCTTGGCTGAGAGAGACAGGGCATAGCCATCGGGCACGAACGTGTAGTCCCCCTCGTCCTCCGGGCGGACGTCATTGATCACCAGCTTGTGGATCCTAAGGGGTTGGGGGCACAGGGCAGAGGTCAAGCCAGGTCGCCCTGGGACCACCACGGAGAAACATCCTCCTCGATGCAATGTACATGCTCACACCCACCCTTTTTCTTTTTCTTTTTTCTTATTTTAAATATATTTTATTGATTTTTTACAGAGAGGAAGGGAGAGGGATAGAGAGCCAGAAACATCGATGAGAGAGAAACATCCATCAGCTGCCTCCTGCACATTTCCCACCAGGGATGTGCCCGCAACCCAGGCACATGCCCTTGACCGGAATCGAACCTGGGACCCTTGAGTCCGCAGGCCGACGCTCCATCCGCTGAGCCAAACCGGTTAGGGCCGCCCTATTTCATTTTAGTATTTTTTTTAAAATTGATTTTAGAGAGAGGGGATAGGAGAGGGATAGAGAGAGAAACATCGATGAGAGAGAAACACTGATGGGCTGCCTCCTGCACGCCCCCTACTGGGGATCACCCCCAATGGGGCATGTGCCCTGACAGAGAATCACACCAGTGACCTTTTGGTTCACAGGTTGACGCTCAACCACTGAGCAACCCCAGCTGGACCACACCCACCCTTTTTCTTCTGGCCTTTGGAACTCTGGGTTCAAATCTCAGCTTTGCCCCCTCCTAGCTGTGTGGCCTTAGGCAAGTTACTTAACCTCTCTGTGCCTCAGTTTTCATCTATAAAATACAGGCAATGATGCCCATCCGGTGTAGCTCAGGGGTGGAGCGGCGACCTATGAACCAGGAGGTCACGGTTTGATTCCCAGTCAGGGTGCATGCCCGGGTTGTGGGCTCGATCCCCAGGTGGGGGCGTGCAGGAGGCAGCTGATCAATGATTCTCTCTCCCTCTCCCTTCCTCTCTGGAATCAATAAAAATATATTTCTAAAAAATATATTTCTAAAAAATACAGGTGCCCTAGCCAGTTTGGCTCAGTGGATAGAGCGTCGGCCTATGGACTGAAGGGTCCCAGGTTCAATTCCAGTCAAGGGCACATGTCTGGGTTGCGGGCTCGATCCCCAGGTGGGGGCACGCAGGAGGCAGCCGATCGACCATTCTTTCTCAACACTGATGTTTCTCTCTCTCTCTCTCTCCCTCTGCCTTCCTCTCTAAAATCAATAAAAATATATTTTAAAAAAAATACAGGCAGTGGTAACAATCCCCACCAGGGTTGCGAAGCACTTAGAAAGCTCCCCGGCACTCAGTGGGTGCCCTGTGACCTGTAGGGCTTCTTCTTCTCACTGAAACCACAAGCAGGCAGGGCTCCTACACAGAACCCAGAGAAAGCCACGTTCCTCCCGGGGCTGCCGTCCGGAACCCCACAGGACACGGCATCCGGTGGCACTACGGTGGCATTCTGTACAGACTGCAAATAGGACCACGATTTCCCCTCCCTCTGTCCACGCCCCTTGCCAGGAGAGCGTGCAGCCTTTGACTCCCTTCGCCCAACAGAATGCGGTGCAAGTGCCCTGGCCGGCGTGCTCCGTGCTTAGAACGTCAGTCAAGGGCGTGGGCCTGGGTTGCAGGCTCGATCCCCAGCTCTGGTCAGGGTGCATGCGGGAGGCAACCAATGCATGTGTCTCTCTCACAACCGTGTTTCTCTTTCTCTCTCTCCCTCTCTCTCCCCCCACTCCCTCCCTTTCATTCTCTCTTTAAAAATTTCAATGCAAAAAAAAAAAAAAGGAATGCCCTAACCAGTTTGGCTCAGTGGATAGAGCGTCGGCCTGTGAACTGAAGGGTCCCAGGTTCGATTCCGGTCAGGGGCATGTACCTTGGTTGCGGGCACATCCCCTGTGGGGGGTGTGCAGAGGGCAGCTGATCGATGTTTCTAACTCTCTATCCCTCTCCCTTCCTCTTTGTAAAAAAATCAATAAAATAGCCGAAACCGGTTTGGCTCAGTGGATAGAGCGTCAGCCTGCGGACTGAAGGGTCCCGGGTTCTATTCCGGTCAAGGGCATGTACCTGGGTTGCGGGCACATCCCCAGTGGGGGATGTGCAGGAGGCAGCTGATCGATGTTTCTCTCTCATCGATGTTTCTAACTCTCTATCCCTCTCCCTTCCTCTCTGTAAAAAATCAATAAAATATATTTTTTTAAAAATCAATAAAATATATTAAAAAAAAAAAAGGAATATGGTGGAAGCAATACGGGACAGTTCCCAGCCCAGGCCACACAGTCATGTTCCCCTGCATGCCCTCAGAACCATTTCTAGCACGTGATGATGCCAGGGCCAGCCCTACTAGGAGATGAGGCATCATCAGGACCAGCGCAGACACAGCCCAGCACCTCCAAATCCGCACAGGAGGGTGAGCAGAACTGACACTCAGCTGACCACACAAGCACCAGGAAGGCGATCCTCAATCAGCCAGCCTCCCATCGACCCACAGTCTCAATTAAATAAGTCCTTGTTCTTCGGAACCACTAAGTCTGGGGATGGTTGTTACGCAGCTAGCGCTAGCTGATACACACGCCCCATCCCCCCAGTCACCTCCATAGTCTACTCCGCACCTCCCCGTGTGGGAGATGGTGATCCTCTTGCTGGGCCGCACCTCGACCCCATTTTTGAACCACTTGCCCGTCACCTTTTCGTCAGACACTTCGCACTTGAACACGGCCTGGTCCGAGGCCTTCACTGTCAGATCCGCAATGTCCTGCAGGACCTCCAGCTGTTTCACTGGACGAGGAGAGAAGGAGAGGGGGCTGTCACAACTCCCGTCTGTCCACAGACATGTGAACTGGGAAACACATTTACATCACAGGAAGGAGCCATGAAGCCTGAGGGGAGGCGGGGACGAGCCCACAGGAGGACACAGGGGTCCCCAGGTAGAGAGGACGGCGTGTGCAAAGGCCCAGTGGAGCAGAGCGGGCTTGTTGGTGTGAGAACAGCAGGCAGGCGAGCCGTGGTAGGAGATGAAATGGGCAGGGCAGCCGGGGCCCAATCCCGGGGCTTGTGGCCCAGGAGAGGACTCTGTGTGGAGTCTGAGCAAGGCCGGAGTGCTCAGGGTGATGGGAAGAGAGCGGGGATCTGACTTACATTTTTATTTTTATTTTTTTATGATTATGATTTTTTTTACTTTCTCTTGCGGTTTGAGAATTCCGTTATTTCTATAACAATTCTTTTTTAAAAAAAATATACTTTATTGATTTTTTACAGAGAGGAAGGGAGAGGGATAGAGAGTTAGAAACATCCATGAGAGAGAAACATCGATCAGCCGCCTCCTACATACTCCCTACTGGGGATGTGCCCACAACCAAGGTACATGCCCCTGACCGGAATCGAACCTGGGACCCTTCAGTCCACAGGCCGACGCTCTATCCACTGAGCCAAACCGGTTAGGGCCTGACTTACATTTTTAAAGTTTTTGTTTTTTTAAATAAAACAATGCTGCCCAGCTGGCGTGGCTCGGTGGTTGGGCGTTGGCCTATGACCCAGGAGGTCATGGTTCGATGCCCAGTCAGGGCACACGCCTGGGTTGTGGGCTCGGTGGGGGCCGTGCAGGAGGCAGCCAATCCGTGATTCTCTCTCATCACTGATGTTTCTGTCTCTCTCTCCTTCTCCCTTCCTCTCTGAATCAATAAAAATATTTTTTTAAAAAAATACACTCCTGGCCGGTGAGCCTCAGTTGGTTGGAGCGTTGTCCTGTGCACAGAAAGGTCACGGGTTCAAGTCTCAGTCAGGGCCATGCCCAGGTTGTGGGTTCAATCCCCAGCCAGGATGCTTACAAATGCTTACAAGAGGCAACCAGTTGATCGATCTCTCTCTCTCTCTCTCTCTCTCTCTCTCTCTCCTCCCTCCCTCCTTTCCACTCTCTTTAAAAATCAATGGAAAGTAGCTCTAGCCGGTTTAGCTCAGTGGATAGAGCGTCAACCTATGGAGTGGAGAGTCCCGGGTTCGATTCCAGTCAAGGGCACATGCCCGGTTCCGGGCTCGACCCCCAGTGGGGGGCATGCAGGAGGCAGCCGTTCAATGATTCTCTCTCATCATTGATGTTTGTATCTCTCTCTCCCTCTCCCTTCCTCTCTGAAATCAATAAAAATAAACAATAAATCAATAGAAAATATATCCTCGAGTGAGGATGAACAAAAATTCAATTAAATTAGAAGAGGCTTTAGATATAGAGGGGAAGTCTCATCCCCACCCACCACCAATCATCTAGACGTAGGCCCTTCTCTGAAGGCGTCACCCATCCAGTCTAGAGCTGTAAAAACAGATGCGTACATACATTTTCTTTCTGTCTTCCCTCCCTTCCTCCTTCCCTTCCTCCCTCCCTCCCTCCCTCCCCTCTTTCCCCCATCCTATCTAATAATAGACAAACATGGTAATTGACCATACCTTCGCTACGCCACCCATTGGCTATTTAGCACAATATGCAAATTAACCGCCAACAAAGATGGTGGCTAATTTGCATACTGCAGGCAGGGTGGGACAGCGCCATCCCGCCTGCCCTGACGCCATCCGGGCCTGCTATCTGCGACCCGGGGCAGCAGGGGTCCCCATGTGCAACCCGACCCGGGGCAGCAAAGGCTTGAAGGAGGCTCCGGCCGGAGCAAAGGCCTGGGTCCCGGGGGCCGGAGGAAAACCAGTGCCGGCAGCCGGGGGAAGGGAAAGCCTATTGCATGAATCTTTTCGTGCAACAGGCCTCTAGTATGCAAATAACAGCCAGCACATTTGCTTTTTCTCCTAAAAATATACAGCAGGTCCCTGAATAACGTCATTTCTTTCAACATCACTTTGTAGTGACATCAATCAAATGTGACAGGAACTTAACTCTTGTTTCTGTCACTCGGCCTTCGGTAAGAATGGTTTCGTTATAGGTCATTTCGCCGCAGTTTTAAGAACCGATCGGCGACGTTAAGTAAGGACTTACTGTGTCTTGGAAATAATTCCACATCAGTAATTAAAAGCTGCCCGTTCTTAGGGCTACATGTGAATATGACATAATTAACTTGGTCCATAAATGGCTTGATTTTTTTGGTCATATTTAAATATGTTTTTATAGATTTCAGAGAGGAAGGGAGAGGGGGAGAGAGAGAGAGAAACATCAATGATGAGAGAGAATCATCGATCGGCTGCCTCCTGCACGCCCCCCACTGGGGACTGAGCCCCCAACCAGGAATCAAACCGTGACCTCCTGGTGCAGAGGTCAGTGCTCAACCACTGAGCCATGCCGGCCACGCAAGCTTTTGTCATATTGAAAGAATTGTAGACTCACAGGAGTTTGCAAAAATGGGTGACATCTTAGACACCCATAGTCCAATAATCAATCCAGGAGGTGGACATGGGAGCAATACTGTCATCACCCAGACGACAGAAGGTCTTCAATTGTGACCATCTGACTGACATTTTACAAGGATCACTGGTTGGTGTGTGTGTGTGTGTGTGTGTGTGTGTGTGTGTGTGATGGGAGCAGGTGTGGAAACAGAACAACCAGCAAGGAGTCTACTATAAGGTGTCCCAAAATTCACGCAAGATTTGAATTTTGCGTGGGTATTAACAACAACAACAACAAAAAGTAAAAGCCTAATTTTACTTGGTTTATTGAAGCAGATTCCAGTATCTGTTGCCCTTTGATTTCAATCCCATCAATTTGATAAGCATTACCAAGTGCCAATTATGGCCCAGGAGCAGGGACAATGAAGACCACGGCTTTGCGTATGTGCCAGCAAAGCCGTGGCGGCCATTTACCTGACAATGTGCTATTCCATACATAACCCTATGCTATATACTTCATGAATCAATAAAAAATTTACCATTTTTAATTATAAACCTGTATTTTCTATCAAAATTACTTCTTGTGTGAATTTTGGGACACCGTATAGAATGGTCTGAGCATGAGGGGATGGAGACCGGGACCAGGGCGGGGGTGGTGGGGGGTGGGGGGTGGGGGGAGGAGTCGGAGAGGGGTAGGGGGAGAGGGGGCCACGGAGGTAGTCAGATTCAGGATCTCCTCTGAGGACTTGCTGGTGAATTGCATGAAGGGTGTGAGGCAAGGAGAGGCATCAAGGACAATCCCAAAGTGGGGCCTGAGCGACGCTGAGCAGCACGGAGAAGCATGCACCGGGGCCCCCGCCCACCCAGGGGCCCCCGAACCTTCCACAATGAGATCAGCCTCGCACTGGCCGCCGTTGGTCATGACCTTGAACCGACCCGCATCTTCCAGGGTCACTTCTGAGAAGATGAGAATGTGACGCTTCCCGTCTTTCTTGAAGCGGTACCGCGCCTTGTAGGAGTCCTCCTTCGTCATCTCCACGCCGTCCTTCATCCTGGGGGGAGGGGACGCAAAGCGGGGAGGGAGGGGTCCGGATGTCAGAGGGTGGGTCCTGGGTCAGAAACACAGTCCTCGGTGGGGGTCCGGAGTCCAAAGGGAGGTCACGGGAGGGAAGAGGGATTAAGGTTGGCAGAGGCAGCCTGAATGAAGAGGTCCCAGGTGAGAGTCCAGGGGAGAAAAAGGGGAGGAGGTCACAGGCCACCGGGAGGTGCCTCCAGGTCCGTTGTAGGTCAGGGGACACAAAAAGAGGTCACGGGAAGAGAAAGGAACATGGAGGGCGTCCTGAGGTCACAGAGAAATGCCAAATAGTTCAGCCTCTGTAAATAGTGCTTCTTCCCCTGCCTTGGACACTCCTTCCTTCCTCCTTCTTCCTCCTGATCCCTCAAAATCTCAGCTCAACCGTCACCTCCTCCAGGAAGTCTTCCCTGTCTTCTGGAGTCCCTTCTTCCTGTTAAAAAGTGGTTACAGCCCTGGCCAGTTTGGCTCAGTGGACAGAGCGTTGGCCTGCGGACTGAAGGGTCCCAGGTTCGATTCTGGTCAGGGGCACATGCCTGGGTTGCAGGCTCAGTCCCCAGTGAGGGGCCCGTGCAGAAGGCAGCCAATCAATGGTTCCCTCTCATCATCATTGATGTTTCTCTCTCTCTCTTTCACTCTGAAACCAATAAAAATATTTAAAAAAAAAAAAAAAAAAGGTGGTTACAGCCCTGGTCGGGTAGCTCAGTTGGTTGGTGCATCATCCCATACAGCAAAAAAAAAAGGTCGCCAGTTGGATTCCTGGTCTGGACACATTCCTAGGTTGCAGGTTCGATCCCCAGTCAGGGCTCGTACAGTAGGTGTCTCTCTCTCTCTCTCTCTCTCTCTCTCTCCCTCCTCCCTCCCTCCCTCCCTTCCTCTCTCTCTAAATTCAATTAAAAAAAACAGCAACAGCCCTAGCCGGCTTGGCTCAGTGGATAGAGCGTCGGCCTGTGGACTGAAGGGTCCCGGGTTTGATTCCGGCCAAGGGCACATGCCTGGGTTTCGGGCTCAATCCCCAGTGCGGGGTGTGCGGGAGGCAGCCAATCAGTGATTCTCTCTCATCATTGATGTTTCTATCTCTCTCTCCTTCTCCCTTCCTCTCTGAAATCAATAAAGAAATATGTTTGTTTTTTTTTAAAAAAAAAACAACAAAACAGCAACATATCCTCGGGTGAGGATTTTTTAAAAACTGGTTCCAGCATCAGTTAATCAGTTACGGCTCCTCTGAAACGCTTGTCAAAACAAAACTTTTATGTTTATTCATGTGATGACTTGACTAATAGCTGTCTCCGTCTCTCACACCCACATGCTCCGGAAATTTACCAGATTATAAACTCCACGAAGGCAGGGGCCATGGTGACATATTTTCTTTCCGTTTATCTCAACACAGAGAAGAGTGCCGCCACACAGAAGGTGCTTCCTAAACATCTGTCAGATGGGTGAACAGATGTGGGATGCATGAATGGAGGAGTAGATGGGGGGGTGAGTGGGTGGGTGATGGATGGATGGATGGGTGGATGGAGGATGGATGGATGGATGGATGACTAGATGAGTGAATGGATGAGTGGATGGATGAGTGGATGGGGGGGTGAGTGGATGGGTGGATGGATGGATGGATGGATGACTAGATGAGTGAATGGATGAGTGGATGGGGGGGTGAGTGGATGGGTGGATGGATGGATGGATGGGTGGATGGATGGATGGATGGATGGATGACTAGATGAGTGAATGGAGGAGTAGATGGGGGGGTGAGTGGATGGGTGGATGGATGGATGGATGGGTGGATGGATGGATGGATGGATGGATGGATGACTAGATGAGTGAATGGATGAGTGGATGGGGGGGTGGGTGGATGGGTGGATGGATGGATGGATGACTAGATGAGTGAATGGATGAGTGGATGGGGGGGTGAGTGGATGGGTGGATGGATGGGTGGATGGATGGATGGATGACTAGATGAGTGAATGGATGAGTGGATCGGGGGGTGAGTGGATGGATGGATGGATGGATGGATGGATGACTAGATGAGTGAATGGATGAGTGGATGGGGGGGTGAGTGGATGGGTGGATGGATGGATGGATGACTAGATGAGTGAATGGAGGAGTAGATGGGGGGGTGAGTGGATGGGTGGATGGATGGATGGATGGATGGATGGATGGATGGATGGATGGATGACTAGATGAGTGAATGGATGAGTGGATGGGGGGATGGGGCTGGGGGGCTGGGGAGATGAATAGATAAGCCAGAGGATGGATGATTGGTCAAATGGATGAATAAATGATTTTTTAAAAATATATTTTATTGGTTTTTTACAGAGAGGAAGGGAGAGGGATAGAGAGTTAGAAACATCAATGAGAGAGAAACATGGATCAGCTGCCTCCTGCACACCCCCTACTGCGGGATGTGCCCCCAACCAAGGTACGTGCCCTTGACTGGAATCAAACCTGGGACCCTTCAGTCCGAAGGCCGACGCTCTATCCACTGAGCCAAACCGGTTAGGGCATGAATAAATGATTTAATGAATCTTAAATAGCAGGGATCAGGAAAAGGGGTGGAATAGGTAGAAGTCAGATGTTCTAGAGCAGTGATGGCGAACCTTTTGAGCTCGGCGTGTCAGCATTTTGAAAAACCCTAACTTAACTCTGGTGCCGTGTCACATATAGAAATTTTTTGATATTTGCCGCCATCGTAAAACGAAGACTTATATTTTTGATATTTATTTTATATATTTAAATGCCATTTAACAAAGAAAAATCAACCAAAAAAAATGAGTTCGCGTGTCACCTCTGACACGCGCGTCAGAGGTTCGCCATCACTGCTCTAGAATTTCTAGATGGTGTGGGTCAGAATTTGGAGAGAGAGGCTGAGGCCTCTGGGGGACTCCCGGGTAGAGGCCCAGGGTCTCCACGAGAGGCCGTAAAGATCGGGCTGGTGCAGAGAAGCGGAGGGCACCTGAGTGGAGATGGGGGCTCACTCACCACATGACCTGGGCGCCTTCTTCCGACACCTCCACGGCCATTTCCACCCGGTCGCCCACAAACACCTGCTGGTCCTCAAGGGGTGTCACAATCAGCACTGGAGGTTCTGTGGGCACAGGGGGTGGGGGACAGGAGGTCAAGTGGTCTCCGGAGCCCCTCCAGACCCCAGTCCCCAAGCCCAGGCCCCACCCCGGCCTCACCTTTGACGAAGAGCTCCGTGAAACACTTCTCATCGCCGACGGCGACTTCATACGCGGCATCGTCCGCCAACGTGCACTTGTTGATGGTGAGAATTCGCTTCTTACCAACGTTCTCAAACACGTACCTGGTGCAAGAACCTCACCTCGGTCCAGGGCCTGGAGCAGACCCTGGCCCTGGGGTGCAGCCGCCCACCAGTTCCCAGGCAAGGCACTCCCGCTCAGAGACAAACTGTGGGGGAGGGGGTACACAGTCCAACTTCTTTTTCTTTTTTTGAAAATATATTTCTTTATTGATTTCAGAGAGGAAGGGAGGGGGAGCGAGAGATAGAAACATCAATGATGAGAGAGAATCATTGATCGGCAGGCCCCCAACTGGGGATCGAGCCCAAAACCCGGGCATGTGCCCTTGACCAGAATCAAAACCTGGGACCCTTCAATCCACAGGCTGACACTCTATCCCAGCGGTTCTCAACCTGTGGGTCGCGACCCCTTTGGGGGTCGAACGACCCTTTCACGGGGTTCGCCTAAGACCATCGGAAAACACATATATAATTACATATTGTTTTTGTGATTAATCACTACGCTTTCATTATGTTCAATTTGTAACAATGGAAATACATCCTGCATATCAGATATTTACATGACGATTCATAACAGTAGCAACATGACAGTTATGAAGTAGCAACGAAAATAATTTTATGGTTGGGTCACCACATGAGGAACTGTATTTAAAGGGCCAGAAGGTTGAGAACCACTGTGCTAGGTCCTCTCCAATTTTGAGTGCCTGCTGTGGACTTCTCTCCTTCCCTCCTTCCTTCCTCCAGACACAGATGTGCCTGCGGCCCAGCTTCAACCATACAGACGGTGTAGCCAGAAATAGGGAAACTCGGATGCCGAAAAGTCCGTAAGAAAAGAGCTGGTCCCCCTACCTCCACCAGCTAGAAATACAGCCCTAGTTAAAGTCATGTGTTCTAGGGACTCCGTTACAGCAACTTAACCCGCACCTTCACTAATACAACTTTTTTATCTTACCCCAAATGCTCATGGCGACAAATTGAGAAAACACAGCCAAGGGGGAAAAAGCCATTTTTAAAAAGAACCCATGTAGCCCTGGCCAGTGTGGCTCAGTTGGCTGGGCGTTGTCCCACATACTGAAGGTTCAATTCCTGATCAGGGCACATGCCCCCGTTTCAGTCTTGATCCCCAGTAGGGGGCATGCAGGAGGCAGCTGATGGATGTTTCTCTCTCACATGGATGTTTTTCTCTCTCCCTCTCCCTTCCTCTCTCTCTAAAAACTAATAAAAAATCCTAAAAAAAAGGACCCATCCATAACTGTCCCAGCAAATGCAAACATTTTGGCCTCTGTCTTGCCAATCTTTTTATCTATACACGAGAGGCTCGGTGCACAAATTTATGCACGGGTGGGGTCCCTCGGCCAGGCTGGTGATCGGGACCATGAGGCCTGTGGAAGGTTGGCTGTGGGAGCGCGCTGATCACCAGGGGCAGCTCCTGTATTGAGCGTCTGCCCCCAGGTGGTCAGTGCACGTCATAGTGACTGGTCGACCGGTCGTTTGGTTGCAATGGTCACTTAGGCTTTTATATAATAGACTAGGGGCCTGGTGCACAAAATTTGTGCACTGGGGGGGGGGTGTCCTTCAGCCCAGCCTGCACCCTCTCCAATCTGGGACCCCTCAGAGGATGTCCCTGTGGGATCGGACCTAAACCTGCAGACGGACATCCCTCTCACAATCCGGGACTGCTGGCTCCCAACTGCTCGCCTGCCTGCCTGCCTGCCTGCCTGATTGCCCCTTAACCACTCCCCTGCCAGCCTGATTACCCCCAACTGCCCTCCCCTGCCATTCCGGTCGCCACAAACTGCCCTCCCCTGCTGGCCATCTTATGGTGGCCAACTTTGACCACATGGGGGCGGCCATCTTTTGTGTGAGGGTGTGGTGGTCAATTTGCATATTACCTCTTTATTATATAGGATATGCAAATAACATTTTATGAAGCAGATGGGAAGTGTGCTTCTGCACACAATAATCGTAAACAGCTCTCCCAGTCAGCATGTATTTTAGAATATCTTTACAGCACCTGAGCACAGAATTGTACATTTTGGTTGTTTTCCATGTTTTGCTACAATAGCCAATGCTTAGGTCAGCATCCTTGCAGCTACATATGCATAACCACCATGGTTCCCTTAAGACAAATACCTAAAATTGAACCATCAAAATGGGCTTTTTTTGTATCTTTTTAAAAAATATATTTTTAGCCGAAGCCGGTTTGGCTCAGTGGATAGAGCGTCGGCCTGTGGACTGAAGGGTCCCGGGTTCGATTCCGGTCAAGGGCATGTGCCTGGGTTGCGGGCACATCTCCAGTGGGAGATGTGCAGGAGGCGGCTGATTGATGTTTCTCTCTCATCGATGTTTCTAACTCTCTCTATCTCTCTCCCTTCCTCTCTGTAAAAAATCAATAAAATATATTTAAAAAAAAAATCTTAAAAAAAATACATATATATATATTTTTATCAATTTCAGAGAGGAAGGGAGAGAGAGACAGAAACATCAATGACGAGAGAGAATCATTGATCAGCTGCCTCCTGAATGGCCCCCACTGGGGATCAAGCCCACACCCCGGGCATGTGCCCCTGACCAGGAATCGAACCCGGGACCCTTCAGTCCGCAGGCCGACGCTCTATCCACTGAGCCAAACCAGGTAGGGCTGATTTGCATTATTACTGTTATTGCTGTTTGTACCATCTGCACGACTGAATGTGTACCTCACAGCACACGGGCCATTTGGGTCTCTTCTCAACGGAATTCCTGGTCTCCAGTGCTTTTGTCTAGTCGTCTACTGAGGTACTCGGACTTTGAACATGGGGGAGGGAGTGCCCTTTCTGGGTTCAGAGTGGCCAGCCTTATTTCGGGGGGTTCTCTGGGCCCCAGATCCCCGCCCCAGCCCACTCTGAGACGGCCACACGCACGTACTTGCTGCCCGGCTTGATCTCCTGGCCGTTCTTGTACCACTTGAGGGGAAGGTCTGGGTCACTGATCTCCACCACCAACTTGATCTTGTTGCCTCTGTCCACTTGGTAGGCTGGGTCCAGCTTCTTCGTGAAGGCTGGAGGGCGAGGGACGCAGGGCGGGTGGAGCTAAGAGGTCCTCACCGCCCTGGTCATCCCAGAGCTGCCAAGTCTCCCTCCCCAGACCATGAGCTCTCCAAGGTCAAAAAGAGGTCAAGGTCAAGAGCTTGGAGGTCCCTGAGAAGAGGACTCTCTTACTCTTCCGATTGGGGCCTCCAAAAGATGGGTCCGGGGTCCCAACATCTGATACCCACGATGCCGCAGGGCCCCTCTCCCTCAGGCCGGTACTGACCTTCACTCTTCTTGACCTCGACCTTGGCCTTCTTGAGCCGCTTCAGCATGCCCCGGAGGTCAGTGATTCCGTACTGGAAGGCGATCTTCTCATACTCGCTCTTCTTTGCCCCTTTCAGGAGCTCCCAAATCTCAGGCGGGATGCCCAGGTCATCGTCGTCCTTCTTCTTCTTCTTCTCCTGCTCAACCACCTCCCTGGGGGCAGGCCAGGTCACCGCGGGGTCTCCTCCCGCCTTCTCCGCCCACCTGCTGGGTGCCTTGCCCGGGCCACTTTCTGTCTCTGGGCCTGTGATCATTTCTTCTCTCCCTCCTGGACCATCGCCCCAGCCTCCGCCCTGGTCTCCTGGCCTCCATCCTGTCTGTCCCCCCGCAGTCTGCCCCCCGCCTTGGGGGACAGTTCTGACCCCCACATCAGATGCCATCCCTTCCCCGTTCGGAACTGGGTGGCTCAGTGTAACGGCAGGCGGACAGAAGAGCAGGCGGGGAGACGGCGGGTGGGTAAATGGACATGTGGGTAGAGGGATGGGCAAAGGGCAGGCAGGTAGGTGGGTAGATGGATCAGTCCATGGGTCAGTAGGGAGCTGGCTGGATGGGCGGGTGAGATTGGCAGGTGGTGGGTGGGCACATGGCTGCATAGGTGTTGGATTGGGTGAACAAGCGGATGAGAAGGAGCCGGAATGAGTAGGAAAGTGGACGTGAGGGTGGAGGGTTAAAAGGTGTGTAGGGAGGTGAACTGGCGGGCAGACGCTGGGTGGCTGGTGGGGGGGCAGTGGGGGGATGGAGGCGGTGGTGGAGGGCCGGATAGATGGCCTCACTTCCCCCTCCTCCTCCTTGAGCCTCCCTCTTCTCTCTGCTCACCTCTTCTTCAGCAGGCCGCTGAAATCCAGCTCGCCCGCGTCTTCGGACTTCCCTTCACCCCTGCGGCCGTGGAGAGGGGGGCGTGAACTCCTCTGAAGTCCCCCCAGGCTCACCTTGGGTCCCCACTCCTTGCCTTCCCCGATCCTCCCTCTCCCAAGGGGAACCCCAGGGTCCAGGGTCACTTACGAACGCTTGAATTCTTCTAGAACCGGCCCCGCGGAGTCCTGAGTCGCTGGGGAGGGGCAAAGGGGGGAGAGAAGGTGAGCTGGAGGCACGTCCTGTCGCAGACCAAGAGCAGCCCGCAGGGCCCGCGCCACCCCCTCCGGGCCCACGTCACCCCCTCTGGGCCCACGTCACCCTCTCCGGGCCCACGTCACCCCCTCCGGGCCCGCGCCGCCCCCTCCCACCTCGTGGGCCAGCACACCCTCTCTCTGAGGCCCAGACACCCCTCTGCTTCCAGACTCATTTCCCTGGCTGCCAGGTACCACCCTCTTGGCAGCCTATCCCCCCTCCACCCGGGCCAGCATGCCCTTCTCCTCAGGCCTGGGCATCCTCCTTCCAGATTTAAGCACCCACACTTCCTGGGCTATAGACGCCCAGCGCCTGTGCACCCTCAGGGCTCCATGCACGTGCCCCCAAATCTGTGTCACCTCCCGTTCATCCCGCACACCCTCCCCCTAACCCACACGCCCTCCGTCCCCTTTCTCAAACCTGTGTGCCGGGACCCTGCAAGGACTGCACTTGCCTCCCGAGCCTTCGCAGGCACAGCCGACCGCCCGCACCCTTCCCCCTTCACGCTCTGAGCATGCAGCCTGTCTCCCCAGTCGGGAACACCCTGGCCCCTGGACCTGGTCCCCCACCCCAGACCCCAAACCCTCGGCCCCACCCCCTCCCATCCCACCCCCGGCAGCGCACCCTCCACATCGATGTTGAAGCCACAGCTGTCGCAGAAGTCCTTGGCTTTGACCTCGAGGCGGTAGTCGCCACGGTCCGCCAGCACCACCTTCGAAATGTGCAGTTCGACGTTGTACACCTGGGGGCCGGGGCCGGGAGTGTGGGTGCACGTGACCACCTCCCCAGAGCCCACCCACAACTCTCCCTCCAATCCCTCCCCCACCCACCATCACTCCCCCACCCCACCGCCCTCTCTCCCCACCCCACCCAGGCCTGAGGCCCCTGCCCTGACCCCCTGAGACTTTCTGGGAGCGCACACACCGTGCCCAAGTGCCTGAACCCCAACGGTCTCCCCTCCTGCCCAACACAACCTCTACCAAGCAGCCCCGAGCAGCCTCCATCCCTGGGAACTCAGGCCCAGGATGACACCCAGGTGTTCACAGGCCTGCGCGGCTCCAGCCCTGGCCCCACCCGTGTCCCTGGCCCTCACGTTGTTGGCGGAGTCATGGGTGGTCTTGAAGGTGAACCGGGCCCCGCTCTTGATGTCCAGCTCCAGCCACTTCCCCTTGAACCACTTGATGGTCGGTTTGCCTGGGAGCTCCTTCCCGTTCACCTTGGCCACGATCAACACATCCTTTCCTGGGGGAGTGGGGGGGCAGTGAAGGATGAGAGGGAGTGGTCAGGTGGGAACCCCAGACTCTAGAGAGGACTGGAGGCTGGGAGCCCCAGACCCTCCTCCCTCAGACCCAGGAGTCCAGGCCCCCAGCTCCCTCCCTCAGATCCAGGGGTCCAGGCCCCCAGCCCCTCCTCCCTCAGACCCAGGGGTCCAGGCCCCCAGCCCCTCCTCCCTCAGATCCAGGGGTCCAGGCCCCCAGCTCCCTTCCTCAGACCCAGGGGTCCAGCCCCCCAGGCCCTCCTCCCTCAGACCCAGGGGTCCAGGCCCCCAGCCCCTCCTCCCTCAGACCCAGGGGCCCAGACCCCCAGCCCCTCCTCCCTCAGACCCAGGAGCCCAGGCCCCCAGCCCCTCCGCCCCCAGGCCCCTCACCATTCTCTACAGACACAGAGTCTGGCTTCTTCAGGAAAACGCCCGTGGGCTCCTCGGCAGTGGGGGACTGCTCCTCAGATGGGGCTTCTGGTGGGAGACAGGACGGGGTCTGAGGCACTGGGAGGGGCAACAGGCCACTGCGGGGACAGCGCTTAGAGCCAGTAGGGGACCCTCTGCTCAGAAGCCAAAGGCCGTGGTATGTCATGGCCTCTCCTGACCTGGGAGAGACCGTGTGACCCCAGGAAGCTGCGTGACCTTGGCCAGGCCGGCCTAGCCCCTTGGCCTCAGTTTCCCCATCTGTGAACGGGAGGGTGGACTGGATGGTCCTGAGTGGGGCTTTGCAATAGGAGAGGCGCCAAGTTGGACGGGGCCGTTCCCAGCTGGCAAGACTCAGTGACCAATCAGCTAGGTGTTGGGGGTGGGGTGGGGCTTGCAGGCCAGGCTGGGGAGCTGGGTTCTGTCTCGGGGGGCACTGGGGAGCCATGGCAGGCTGGGGAGGGGCGGGTCAGCTCTGGGGGCACCGTGGGAGGACAGGGAGAGTGCAGAAGGTCCAGGGGAGCCTGGGCGGTGAGGTCCAAGCTCTGCTGAGCCCCCGGGACACCGTCTCACCTTTGGGGGACTGCGGGGGGGCCTCCTCTGTGGGGGTTTCCTTGGGAGAGGTTTCTTCGGCAGCAGGTTTGGCCTCATCTTTGCCTTTCGGGGCCGTTTTGGCCGCTGTGAGATGGGTGTTACCGATTAAGCACATGCTCAGCCCCTCCTCCCTCAGACCCAGGGGTCCAGGCCCCCAGCCCCTCCTCCCTCAGACCCAGGGGTCCAGGCCCCCAGCCCTTCCTCCCTCAGATCCAGGAGTCCAGGCCCCCAGCCCCTCCTCCCTCAGACCCAGGGGTCCAACCCAGCCCCCTTCCAGACAAATTAAATTTATCTCTACTCCTGAGTGTGTGCGATCAGGTTTCCCCTCGCCCCGGCCGGCTGTGCCCCATGCTCCAGGCCACAGGCCCTGACCTTTGGGTCCTGGGGGTAAAATTAGCTCTTCCGCCCGCCCGCCTGTGCTGGAAACCGGACACCTCGTGCTGACCACAGCACCTCTGCTGGCAGGCCGGCCTGCTGGCTCCAGGGTCCAGGGGGGCCCAGCGGCAGTGAGGGGCTGCACCCCCACCCCACAGCCTGGCTGACCTGGGGCCAGAGGCCTGGGCACCCCGTGAGGTTCATTTCCCCACCAAGAGCGGCCCCCACCCCCATATCAAGAAGTGCCCCCCAGTCTGCACATAAAAAAAGGCTCGGAGCTCTTATACTAGGGCCCCTGATTCTGACTTGGAAGCCCTGGTTCCTACAGGAAGGGGAGCCCTCACCCTCATGAGCTCCCCTCACCACGCAGACAGGACGCCCTGACTCTGTGCACCCCACAGAGCAGTGGTTCTCAACCTTCTGGCCCTTTAAATACAGTTCCTCATGTGGTGACCCAACCATAACATTATTTTTGTTGCTACTTCATAACTGTAATGTTGCTACTGTTATGAATCGTCATGTCAATATCTGATATGCAGGATGGTCTTAGGCGACCCCTGTGAAAGGGTCGTTCGACCGCCAAAGGGGTCGCGACCAACAGGTTGAGAACCGCTGCCACAGAGCAAGGCTCGATCCCCACCCAGAGGACCCGTCCCCTAACGCAGACGCCCCGGGATTCACACACACAGGCAGAGGCAGACCTTCCGCACCCAGAGAGGGGCCTCCCCAGTCCCCACAAAGGGACCCCCTCACCCTCAACGCACAGGGAAGGGGACCTGCCCCCAACACGCAAGGGGGGGAAAGCCGGCTCCCCACAGAGGAGGCGCCCCATTCCCCCGAATCACAGAGCGAGGAGCCCCGTCCCCGTTCAGAAAGGACAGGGCTCCGCAGGGGGAAGTGCCAAAGCCACCTGGTTTAGCCTCGGGCATGTCAGCGGACGCTCGGCTCCTCTGGCCGCAGCTGTGTTCCTCTGGGCCCTGGGGAGGACCGGTGGGCCGCGGGGGAACCCTTTAAGGAGTGAGCTGACTCCCAGGAGTCTCCACCCTCCCCATAGCCGACCCTGGGAGCCAACAGGGACGGCCCAACAAGGAGAGAGGCTGAACGCCAGGTCCCCGGAAGGCTTGGGACTCCTGGGTCTGCGGGAGGAGGGGTGGGGAAGGACTCCTGGGTCTGAGGGAGGAGGAGGGGGAAGGACTCCTGGGTCTGAGGGAGGAAGGGCTGGGGTCTGGGTTCCTGGGTCTGAGGGAGGAGGGGCTGGGGGCCTGGACACCTGGGTCCGAGGGAGGAGGGCTGGGGTCTGGACTCCTGGGTCTGAGGGAGGAGGGGCTGGGGGTCTGGACTCCTGGGTCCGAGGGAGGAGGGGCTGGGGTCTGGACTCCTGGGTCCGAGGGAGGAGGGGCTGGGGGTCTGGACTCCTGGGTCCGAGGGAGGAGGGGCTGGGGTCTGGACTCCTGGGTCTGAGGGTGGAGGGGCTGGGGGCCTGGACTCCTGGGTCCGAGGGAGGAGGGGCTGGGGGTCTGGACTCCTGGGTCCGAGGGAGGAGGGGCTGGGGTCTGGACTCCTGGGTCCGAGGGAGGAGGGGCTGGGGTCTGGACTCTTGGGTCTGAGGGAGGAGGGGCTGGGGGTCTGGACACCTGGGTCCGAGGGAGGAGGGCTGGGGTCTGGGCTCCTGGGTCCGAGGGAGGAGGGGCTGGGGTCTGGACTCTTGGGTCTGAGGGAGGAGGGGCTGGGGGTCTGGACACCTGGGTCTGAGGGAGGAGGGCTGGGGTCTGGGCTCCTGGGTCCGAGGGAGGAGGGGCTGGGGTCTGGACCCCTGGGTCTGAGGGAGGAGGGGCTGGGGTCTGGCTTCTGGGTCCGAGGGAGGAGGGGCTGGGGTCTGGGCTCCTGGGTCCGAGGGAGGAGGGGCTGGGGTCTGGCTTCTGGGTCCGAGGGAGGAGGAGGGTCTGGGGGCAGAAGGGACCTGGGTTCCAGACCTTGGGTGCTGGGGGAAGGAGAAGGGTGAGGGCCCGAGCTCCTGGGTCCTAGGAAGAGGGAGAGGCAGGGGCTGGGGACTAAAGTGGGTGAATGGCGGGGCGGGGGCGGGGGCGGGGCGGGGAGCAGACAGGGTCCTGAGGGCCATTCTTAGTATCTGCAAGTCAGGAGTTTTCGGGAAACCAGAGCCCGGGGCTGGGGGAGGGGCCGGCTTCCCCGCGCGGGCGGGAGGGGTCCCCGTGCCGGCAGGAGGGCCCTGGGGCTCGGGGACTCCGGAGTCCACCCCCCGACGTGGGCGCACCCAGCTCTGGGCCCCGGCCCCCTGGGACCCCGGCCTGGCCGTCACCCCCCTGGGACCGCGCCCGGCCTGTCCCCAGGACGGTTCCCGGAGCGGGCGCGGCGGGCACCGGACGCGGGTGCCGCCGGCGGGGGCGGGGGGAGGCCGGGAAGGCCCTGGAGGGGTGCCCGGCGCTGGCGCCCTTCCCGGCAGGGAGACCTGCGGCTGCCTGGATGGGGGGAAGGCGGTGGGGGAGGAGAGGGTCTTGGGGACCCAGGTGTTGAGAGGACGCGGTGGGTTGGGGAGGGAGGGGCGGGGGAGGGCTTGAGGGGCCGGAGGGGGACGGGGCGGGGGGCGGGGGCGGGGGGGGCGCGGGGCGAGGGACCCGATGTGAGGAAGACGAGTCCCGCCCCCTTCCCGTCTCCAAAACCCCCTATGAGCCGGAAACTTCCCGCCCCCAAGGAGCGCCAAGCCAATCCGGAGGCTGCCTTCCTGTGGCGTCACGGGTTACCAGGCAGACAAACACACAGCTCCCCGGCCAGCGAGCGGGCAGAGCTGCGGGAGCCAGGAGGGCAGCGCTGCCCCGCCAGCCCGAGGGAGGACAGGAGTCCCAGGAAGGACAGAGACCAGAAAGGGCGGAGGGTGGAGCCAGAGACCCGGAGAGAGCGCGGGGAAAGGAAGGGAAGGGAGAGGACGGAAAGGGCAGCAGGGAGCGGGCGGGGAAGGAGCCCCTTGGTCAGGAAGAGAGGGACAAAATTGGACGGAACCACCAGGTCCTATAGCTCAAGCCCCTTACCCTGGCCCGCAAGGCTCAGCCTGGTCTGGCTCTCAGCGCCTCTTCCATCTCCTCTCTTACCCCCCTCCCTGTCCCGGTGTCCCCGAGGGCCAGCAGGCCGTGTCCCAGCATTGCTGGCCCTGACAAAGGGTCCCAGGAGGCCTGTCTACCTTGATTTGTTTTGTTTATTTTATTTCATTCCACACTTGGGGTGATGATGGTTTCTGCAGAAGGTACCTCGTTTGCAATGGAGGCTCCAGGGAGGACATCTTGCCACCCCCCTTCCCACTGTTCTGGCCCCTCCCCAAGGCAGGGGGGCTGTTCTGCTCTTGCTGCTGCCAGCACCCGGCGCCCCTGCAAGGACCTCTTCTCTCTGGGTCCCTGATGCGCCCCCCTCGGCCTCCTCCGGCCATCAGCGGGGGTGCGGTGATTGCAGGAGCTGTATCAAAGGCCTGTCCACAGGGCTGCGAGGGACTGTCACCATCTTCCTCCTCTTCCTCTCCCCTTTCACAGAAGGGACAACTGAGGCCCAGAAGCAGCATGTCTTTGACTCGAGGGCCCCCAGCCACTGAGGCTCAAGGACTGGACTCGGGGCTCAGCCACAGCCCCTGGCCTCGGGCTTCCAAGCAGAGCAACCACGGCCCATCCAGGCTTCACCCCAGCTGGGTTCACCCAGGGGTCAAAGTGCAGGTGGCTGAGGGTCAAGGCAACTGAGAGAAGCCACCAGGGTATGACAGCCAAGGGGGTTGGTGGCGAACAGGGTCCCATGGGGGGCTGGGGGGGGAGAGTGTGAGGGAGCACCGCCTTGCTCCAGCCTCCACACCCCAAAGCCGGTCGCTGGATTGTGCAACGTTTTAACAGAAGGATTTTGCAAAATCTCCCTCCATTGAAATGTCAGTTAAATTGGATGCCCCTCCAAAAACAAACAAAACTGTGACCCTGAATTAAAGAAAACCCAGCAGGGGGAGGGGCGGGGGAGGGGGACCTGACTTGCCCCCTGGGTGTGGGGTAAGGAGTCGGTCATCAGTTAGAACTGATGTGGGGGGCTGCCAAGATCACCCAGAAATCAGCTCAGTGGCCAGAATGATCTGCAGAATGTGACTACAGGGGACACCCCAGGAGAGGGAGGGAGGGTTTCCATGACGACTCAGCTGCTAGTGGGGTCCCCATAGGGGGATGTCAGGTGGAAATCCCAGAGAGGGGCACGGATGTGGTTGGAGAATCCCAGGCAGAGGTGGCCCAGACATGACAGGGTTCAATGAGGTGCCCCCACCCCAAAACCTGACAAGTATTTTCAGACATGACGGAAGGATCCCTGAGCCTCCCTAGCTGTGACTGGAGAATTCCAGACACAAAAAAAGTGGTAGCAGGGCGGTTCCAGAGAACTAGGGGATCCCAAAGATGACCGAGGGATTTGGGGGGACAGATAGGACGAGAGTCACAGCTGGGCACAGAGGTCTGAGCTATGGTTAAGGGATCCCGGAGGTCTCAGGCATAACTAGGAGATGTCAGATCTGACAGGAGGGACTCACAGGAGCAGAGGTCCCCCAGACCTTGGACAGGGCCTAGGGCTGCTGGCAGCGCCCCGTCCTGGTGTGAAGATCTGTGGGTTCACCCGCCCCCCCTCATGGGATTGTGGGATCACAGACACACAGCAGTCCCCACTGGCTGGGGTTCTGGAAGCACCAGCCCGCCCCACTCCACACAGACACATAGTCCTGCCACCCAAGCCATGAAGATCCTGGGGACCCTGGACGTGATGCGGGAATCCCAGAGGGGCCCTGGGCAGGGCTTAGGGATTATGGCAGCCCCCCACCCCCACAGTGTGGGGAATCCACGGGTCCTATGACCTAGGGTGCGGGGACAGCAACGTGACACTGGCCTGGTGAGCCCCTGAGAGCCCCCCCGAGAGCGCCCCGGCTCAGGCCCGGCGGGCGGCCGGCAGCAGCGCAATGTCAAACTGGTAGGTGAGCTTGCGCTTGACCTTGCGGATCTCGCCGGTCTTGGCGTAGTTGCGCAGCGCGCGGGCCAGCTTCTGGTAGGTCATGCGCTTGCGGTTGCCCTTCTGCTGGCCCCAGCGGCGCGCCAGCAGCTCCTTGTGCTTGGACGAGAACTGGAAGACGCCGGCGCCCGGCTCCACCCACCACACGCACTCGCGCATGTCGCCGCGGGTCAGCAGCCCGAGCAGGAACTGGTACAGGCGCAGCTTCTTGCGGGCCCCTGCGGAGGGAGGCGGGGTGTCAGGGAGGTGCCCAGCGGCCCGCCCCGTCCCCCCAGCCTCCGTCTCCCCATGGAGAGATTTAGCTGATACACCTGCCTGGCTCTGTCTGCGCCCCCCTCTCCCTGAAGCTGCCCCCCCCCACCCCCCATGGCCCCTCCCTGCTTTCTTTTACAGGATCTGCCCCTGGCCTGAGCTCTGCTCCGTGGCCAGCGCCTAGGAATGAATACATATTGTTCAGCGCATGGATGAGGGAAGCTGTGAAATGGGTTGACAGAGCTCCTCAAAGTCTCCCCACAGGGAGCTGACTGGTGGTGGAAAGAGCCCTGGGGTGGGTTTGAGTCAGCCTGGCTCAACTCCAGCCTCGCACCCCAGAGGGACTGGGATCCTGGGAGAGGCCAGGGGTCCACTGCTGGGCCCCTCAGAGCAGGAGCAGGTGGATATAGCAGGGCACCGGGTCCAAGAACCCCAGCTCTGCCATCTCCCAGCTGTGTGCCCCTGGGGTGATGACGTAACGTCTCTGAGCTGGCATCGCCTTGGCTATACATGAGGCTTCCCTGTGCAGGTATTTCACTTTTACAAGCTCCGTGCCCGGGGCTTTACAATTATGAGCTCATTTCACCTTCACCACAGCCCCGTGGGATGGGGGGACGGCAACAACCCATTTTACAGATGGGAAACTGAGGCGCAGACAGAGAAAGTTGCTAAGGACCAATCCCACCTTCCCGGAGGAGGTGCGCATAACGGATGCCGGGCTCGTGGGCGGAAGCAGGGGCTGACGGGCTGGGGCTGAGGCTGGGAGGGTTTCTGTGCTGTGTTGGCGATGGTGGTGAAGCCTCACCGAGCGCTCGGTCTCTGCCCAGCGCCGTTATCTCACAACATCCTCCCATGAACCCTCCCAAACACCAGCAACAGTCACCGTGACTGTCACCCCTCCGTACAGACAGGCGGGCGAGGCGCAGAGAGGTAGGCAGAGGCCCTTGCCCCGGGCACACAGCCTGGGCCGCCCTCAGAGCTGGGGTGCATAGGACAGGCTTGGGAAGCCACGGCCCTTCAGCCCCCTCCTCCCGCCCCCTGTGGGAGTCCCCGCCCGACCTGCTCCCACTTACCTGCCTCGGATGCCCCGCCCTCGGGGCCAGCCATGAGGGCCTCATCCGACTCGCTGTCCGAGACCTCCAGGGCGGGGTTGTCCAGCAAGAGGTCCTCCTCTTCCGACAGCACGGGGCTGGGGTACGGGGCGTACGACGGGGGGCCCAGGGTCTGCGGAAGGTCAGGGTCACCTGCCGTCCCGTCGAGGGGGGGCCCTGCTCTCCCTCCCTTGGCTTCCTCCTCCTGGGCCCTCCCCACTCCGTTTACAGCCTGGGTCGGCTCAGACAGTCATGGTGTGGCCAGGGGACGCCCGGCCACCTCCATGAAAGCCCGCGCCACACGGATGACAGCTACCTGTGCTGCCCCCTGGCTCCCTCTGTCACTGGTTTTGCAGTAATGACAGTGCTCAGCCTCATAGGGAGGGAGGGAGGGAGGGAGGGGTTATAATGCATTGGCCCTAATGCAGTGCCTGGCGCCCAGCAAACCTCAGTCACACGATGGGGGTGTCAGTGATCCCCCTGCCCCTCACCTGGCAGGCGAAGTCCTCTGTGGGGTACGCTGGGAAGCCAGGCCCCGGGGCCTCGAGGCTGGCGGCTGGGTTGAGGCTGCCCACAGGGCTGTAGGTCGAGGAGGGCCCATAACAGAGCTGGGCGTCCTGGGGGTGGCTGAAGGTGGCCACGGCTGGGTCGAAGGCTTCGTAGGAGGTGGCGGGCACAGCCGGGACCTCCGTCCAGCCCCACAGGGAGTCTGGGGGAAGGGCACTGAGTCAGAAGCCGGGGGTGTGGCCTTGGCCCCCTCCCACTGGAAGCGCCAGCACAGAGGGGCCATTGTGGGCCATGCAAATGGCTGACCCCGGGATTTGCATGGGCGAGTGGCCAGGGAGGAAAGGAAGGAGGCTGAGGGCCTGGGCTGACCTCGCCCTGCTGAGCTATGGGACCATTTCCCCCGGGGCTACAGCTCCCCATCCGTGAAATGGGCCCAAGGGGCATGTGGGAGGGGTCTGGGCCGGGGTCACTCACCAGGAGCCCCCTCTGAGTCGGAGTAGCCGGGGTGCTTGCAGCTGTCCAAGTCATAGAAGATGCCATCTGGGTACTGCTGGGGGGAGGCGGGAGGAGGGGTCAGCGGCCTGTGAGGAGCCCCACCCCCACCCTGGACCAGCAGGGAGATGTCCACAGGGGCAGGGAGAGGAGACGCACAGAGATACGGAGAGAGGAGACAGACACAACACGGCAGAGGCACGAAGACCCGGAGAGAGACACTGAGCCGTGGGCCGCCAGGAGCCCCTCGCCTCACGATGCTCAGTCATCGTCATGAGAATTCCCCCGGCCTCCTCTGTCTGGGTGGCGGGGTGAAGGGTGGGAGTTCTTTTTTGGTCTCAGTGCTGCCTTTACCCACCTCCGCATCATTGCTTCCATTCATCTCAAGAATCGTCTCGCTTTAGCAATTAAAGACCAAAGCAGGAGACAGACCATCTCCATGCCAGCGATCTCACGCCTGGATTTACCCAGGAAAACGTCTGTCCACTAAACAGCCTTGCCCAGGAAGACCCAGAGCAGCCTCATGAAAAGCACCAAAGGGGAGCCCTAACTGGTTTGGCTCAGTGGATAGAGCGTCGGCCTGCGGACTGAAGGGTCCCGGGTTCGATTCCGGTCAAGGGCATGTACCTTGGTCGTGGGCACATCCCCAGTAGGGTGTGTGCAGGAGGCAGCTGATGGATGTTTCTCTCTCATCGATGTTTCTAACTCTCTATCCCTCTCCCTTCCTGTCTGCAAAAAAATCAATAAAATGTATTAAAAAAAAAACACCAAAGGGGAGATAGCCCCAGTGGTCATGGACGGGGGAATGGACACATGAGGTGGTGGTGGGGGTGGGGGGGGGTGGAGTACATACAGCGAGGAAAAAGCCGGCGCCTGACACGCACTTGATGTTGAGCAAAGGAAGCCAGACCCTTGCCGAAACCGGTTTGGCTCAGTGGCTAGAGCGTCGGCCTGCGGACTGAAAGGTCCCAGGTTCGATTCCGGTCAAGGGCATGTACCAGGGTTGCGGGCACATCCCCAGTAGGAGATGTGCAGGAGGCAGCTGGTCGATGTTTCTCTCTCATCGATGTTTCTAACTCTCTATCTCTCTCCTTTCCTCTCTGTAAAAAATCAATAAAATATATTTAAAAAAAAAAAAAAAAAAAAAAGGAAGCCAGACCCCAAAGGGTACACGCTATGATTCACTCTGTGGAAAGTTCAAAACCAGGCAAAACGAATGCGTAGTGGAAACGTCGGAACGGGTATCGAGGGAGAAGGCTGCGGGTATTCCCGGGTGACGGAGCGCGGTCTCGGCTGGTTATTGGTCGCGCAGGCGTGTGCCCGGGTCAGCCCTCACTGCGCGGCACACAAGATGTGTCATTTGCCCGACATAAGTTACGCCTCCATTTTTTTTTAAAAAAAAGCAAAACTCGTCGTGTGGGGGAGGTAGGGGCCCCAGAGGGGGTGTCTTTCGGGGCCATACGAGTAAGGCTTTATTTCTCGGACTGGACTGCGGGTTTTAGGTCGAGTATCGTGTGTCTCATCTATTACAGGCGACATTTTTGAAAATATAAGGCAGAGAAGAGAAGGGAAGAGGGAGGAATAGGTTTGCTGACCGTGGGCCGGACAGAGAACGAGATAGAAAGGCAAAGATACAAAGAACACCCCCCCCTCCCCCCCCACACACACCCACGCCCGGAGCCCGAGAGGAGAGAGACATTGGAGAGACATCTGAGATGAGTGGCTGGAGGGTGGTGGCGGGAGACACTGAAAGTAAAAAAGACAGAGTGACAGGAAGGAGCAGAGAAGGAAACTGAGGCAGGGAGGTCACAGTAGGCCATGTGGGTCCCCCCCTCCGCCCTGCCTTGGCCCCCAGGGCCTCAACTCACCAGACAGCTGAAGTGTGGCCCGTCGAGCCTGGAGGGGGAGAGACACAGGGGCATGTCAGGGTGCCTGCAGCCACCTGAGGTTCGCGGTGGCTGGGGGGCCGTCGGGGAGAGGCGGCTGCAGCTGTGACCACCACAGCCGTCTGCTGTGCGTTCGTGTGGGAGACCAGCCCCCCACTCCCTCACTGGGGCAGGAAGTGGGGGTGGGAGCCAGGCAAATGACCCCCCGTCCCCTGGGATTTGCATAGGCAGGGGCTGGGGGGGGGGGTAGGGAAAGTGAGGGAGAGAAAGTCCCCAGGGAGATGAGGGTGCCCGCGGGCGGGTGGGGGCAGGGAGGGGCCTCCCTTAGCCAGTCTGTCCAATGGGTCCACCTTGGACCAGGGGAGCTACGGGGAGACGCAGAGACCCAGCGAGGGCGAGTGAGCGCGGGGAAGGGAGAGGTGTGGAGCCGTCCACGCTCAGATGCAGAGGTATTTACTGAGCCCGGAGATAGAGGGATGGGGTGGGGGAGAGATGGGGGACAGGAGAAGTAAGACAGGTGGACAGAGAATTGGAAAGAGGCTGAGACAGAGGGAGCGAGAGGCAAAGGAGACCCCGAAACATAAGGCGGAGGCAGAACACAGAGAGAGCAGACACAGGGAGCGGGGGACCCGGGGGGGCCCGGGGGACAGGGTGGAGGGCCCTGGAGATGTCGGAGGGGAGTGGGTGGGTGAGTGGGAGGCCAGCCTCCCAGGAGAGGTCTGTGGGGTCCAGGGGGAGACAGGAGGAGGATGGAGGAGAGAATCAGTGGGAGGGAAGAGAGACCCAGAGGGGCGGGCGTGAGCGTGGACACCCCCCCAGTGAGGCTGTCAGCCGAGACCACCGCTGGGGGAGGCCTGGCAGAGGGGCAGGGGTGGGGGGCCGGGGTCCCGTGTGCAGGTTTAGGGGCCCCACTCACTGTGCAGCCTCCAGGGCGAGCATGGCGGTGCCGGGCTGTGTTCACTGCCGGTGGCAGCCGCCACCCCTATTTATACCTTGGCCCGGCCCCCTGGGGGCAGGGGTGCCTGAGCTCAGCCCTCCTGGAAAATCCCCTCAGGGAGGGGGCCAGGGGAGGGGGCTGGATTGCACAACCTCTGGGTCACGTGGTGGGGAGGGCGGGCCCGGGAGCCGGCTGGATTTGGGGATCCCCACAGTTGGGAGCAGGGGTAACCCTGAGGGGTGGAGGAGCTGGACTTGGGGGACCCTAAAAGGGGTCATTGGTCAGTGAAGTGGGGGTCAAAGCAGGGGGGCGTGTCCCTGAGGAAAACCCAGGCCCAATGCGGATGAGGACCCTAAGGTGGAAACATCGTGGGTGTGGGACACGGAGGGGGGTCCCCTGGGTCGTGGGGAGTGGGAGCCCGCGAGCCGGGGCTGCCCCAGGCCTGGAGGAAACGGGTCAGCACCTGGAGGGCCAGCTGCCGCAGGGAGGGGGCGCTGGGCAGAGCGGAGCTGTCGGCAGGGGAGTAGATACCCAGAGATGCCCACTCAGGCTCCGGGGGGAGACTGAGGCAGGCCGGGCCTGCGAGGGCTGACAGCGGAGCGGGAGTCCAGGTGCCCTGCACAGGGGGAGGCGTCCAGTGGGGCACCTGGGGGTCAGGGCCTGACCGTGGACTTTGTCCCGCCCCCTCACCCCCAGACACCAAACACAAAGCACCAGGTAACAAAAGGTCCAAACTTTATTAGTTCTCCACCGGTCCCCGCCGGCAGGGCCCTCCTGGGAAGCCTGCGGAGGTCAGGGGTCACCAGGCCTCGGGGCCAGGGGGCCCGAAGCGCCTCAGAAGCTGCTCCTGGTCCTCCAGGTCCTTGCGCACCTTCTTGCGCATGTAGAAGATGGGGCAGTCCCGGCTGCGGGCGGCAGGCGGGCGGGTCAGGGCCAGGGCCAGGGCGGCTGCCCGGGCTGCAGCAGGCCCGATGCCCAGCCCCAGGATGGAGCGGACCGTTCCCAGGACTTTGGCCCCGGCCTGCTGCCCACCCGCCCCCCTCCCGTGTGGGGCTGTTTGCTCAGCGGGCATGGGGGGGGAGCGATAACAGCGGGTGCCCGCGGAGGCGCTGGGCCACAGCCGTATATCACCTGTCACCTGGCGTGGGAACCCGCCCCGCCCACCCGTTCCCTGGGGAAAGCCCGGCCCCACCCTGGGGGAGGGGGTCGGGGCAGCCATCTCCCCTGGGGCAGATACTGGGCGCCCGACCCTGCCCCACTCAGTGGCTCCCCACCCCGACCCCTGGGAGGGCTGGGTGCGCACGGCCTGTTTTGCAGACATGACACTGAGGTCAGGGGACTCTGCAGCCAGAAGGGAAGTGGGGGTGGGGCTGCTTGAGACCCTGGAGTTGGGGCCCAGCTCCCCAGGCCTGGGGAGCATGGAGGGACCCGGGGCCACGGGCTGCGCACCTGGTGCAGATGACGTCCTCGTGCAGGCTGCCCTGACAGCGCTGGCACTGCGTCCACAGGCGCGAGAAGCGCTCCTCCAGGGCGTTCAGGTGTGACACCTGCGGACGGGGGGCGGGAGGGGGGCTCAGCAGCAGCCCAGGCCGGCCCCTCGCCCCAACCCTCCCCGACCCTCACCTCCTTCTGATACAGCTCCGACTCCCGGGGCTTGCAGAACTTGCACACGGCTCCTGCGGGGGGGAGGGGGGGGCAATGGGGGAGCTGGGGCCGAGCCAGGGCCCAGGCCACCCCACCCCTGCCCCTTCCCCGCCCGCTGCCCATCCCGACTTCTGAAAGTCCCCACAGACGGAGAACAAGGGAGAGAGTGTGTGGGGGAAAACTCCCTGGGGAACTCCTGGGGTGGGGGGCCGGGACCCCCCTCTTGGGGTGACTGCAGAGAGGAGACCCCCACCCAGGGGAGACCCCATCTGGGCAGCAGTGCCAGCTTGTGGGGCAGGGGCCGGGGACCTCGGGCGCCCCGGGGTGGATGGAGGGCAGGGGCGGGGCGGGGCCGGCTCACCTTGGTGGCTGAGGACAGTGCGGCAGCCAATGCAGCAGCTCTGCCGCTTGGCGAAGGCCAGGAGGCCGCCCACCCTGCCGGTGAGCACGGTCTTGCATCGTGTGTGGTCCCCCCCTGCAGGTGAGGGGTGAGGGGTGAGAACAGCGTGGCTGGTGCCCCCCGGCCCCAGGCACCCCCCCCCCCCCCCCGGGCATCCCGTACGCAGCAGCACGGCCTCGGCGCGGCCCTCGCCCAGGATGGGCTCGAAGATGCGCAGGAGCGGCTTGGCGAGCTGCTGCTCCAGGTAGTACTGCGTGTCGATGGGCAGGCTGTGCTCCAGCACGAACAGGGGGTCCTGCGGGCAGAGCGCAGGGTCACCCCAGGGCCAGAGCCGTGGAGGGACTGGGCCTGGGACAGAGGACACGGGGGCGACAGGCACTGAGAACACCGAGGGCTCCCCCAGTCATGACTGGGACCGTGGTGTGCGGCCGTTCCTGGGCACAGCGCTGCCCTGTGGGGAGCAGCATCAAGGAAGGGGGTGGGGGGTCTGGGATGGGGTCATAGGTCATTGGGGGTCCCTGGCCACAGGCTCTGTGATCCATGCTGAGGTCCACAGGTGGGGCCCTCAGGTAATCAAGGAAGGGTCAGAGGTCACAGCGATGAAGGATGAAGGGGGACAAGAACTAGGTCAGAGGTTACAGACATCTGAGCAGGATGGAGGGTACAGATCTCAGGGACCCAGAGGCTGAAGAACGAGGGCCAAGGAGACAGAAGGGGACACAGACACGGAGACAGAGATGGAGGGACGCCCTGTGCAGCGAGGCTGAACCCCTTGCCCGGGGGAGCGAGGGAGAGGTCAGACACTGGGGGTGGGGGCACCCTCCAGAGGGCACAGGCGGCTGGGAGCAGAGCATCCTGGAGCCGACGCCCGGGTGTGCTGGGGCGGCTGGCAGGGCCCCACGGGGCCCAGAGAGGGAAACACCTTCCCACCGCGGAAAGCAGAAGTGAGAGCGGGCGGGCTGGGCGGCGGGCAGCCAGGTGGGCCTGACCTCGGACTTCATGTAGGCAGCCACGCCCTTGGCGGCCCCGATGATCACGTAGGGCACCCGGTCTCCCAGGCTGGGCGCGCTCCCGGGGTCCCGCTTCCTCATCCTGCGGGGAGAGGGTGGGTGAGGGCAGGTGGACGGCGGGGGGGTGGGGCCAGGAAGTGGTGGGCTCGGCGGGCTGGAGGGGCTATTTCTGGACGGCCAGGCCCCCAGCGGACCTCTCGGCCAGCTCCACGTGGGCCTGCTTGCCGGCGTAGTCGGCGGCCGCGCGGGTCAGCTCCTTGGTGATGACCAGCTGCGAGATGTCGATGCGGTTGCACAGCAGGTCCGAGATGACGTCCTGTGCGTGGGACACGGCGCCCTCGGGGTCTCTGTGGGCCAGATGGGGCATCTCCAGTGGCTGCTGAGGGCCAGGCTGGCACCTCCACGCCCCCAAGGCTGGGGACCAGGACGGGCTCCGGGCTGAGGTCCAGGACGGGGGCGTCTGCTCAGCCACAGGCTACAACCCCACAGCTGCCCAACCCCACACGCCTCCCACCGCTTCTCGCTAAGGAAAAGCTTCTCACTGAGGAAAAGCGGGCCTGACTCCCGTGTCCCCAAGGGAGGAGGGGCGGGCTCCCGGGTCTGAGGGAGGGGGACTGGGGTCTGGATCCAGGGGTCTCATCTCACACACCGGTCGATGAGCAGGCGGCGAAGTGAGGCGGTGACGAGGTTGGCCACCAGGGGGCAGTTGTCCCTGCGCACAGCCTCCAGGCCCTTGCAGTCCATGCGGTCATGGGTGTCGGGCCGGGAGGAGAAGAGCAGGCCAGCATAGCGCTTCTTGCTGATGAGCAGGTAAGGGAAGTAGACCTGGGGGGGGACCCGTGGCTGAGGCCCCTGAGACTGCAGGGTGTCCAATCCTGAGACACCCCCCAGAAAGTGACAGGCAGGTATGGTTCCTGAGATGTAGGGTTGGGATGCCTGGGGGACTGGACCCTGAGACCCCAACACCTGAGCCCAGGAACACCCTCAGCTTTCCAGGGAACCCCAGACCAGGGTCCCCAAGTCTAAAACAGAGGCTGGGACAAACCTAGAAACAGGCCCCAAATATGAGATCCAGACTCTGGGCTAAAGCCTTGAAAGCCCCAAATCTGGGTCTGGGGCAGAAGCTGAGGCAGAAGGGGGCACCCCCGGAGAGGAGACAAGGCCTGGAGTGAGCCCTGAGGCACAGACCTCCCAAACTGGGAGGCTCTGATTCCAAGAGCAGGGGTGCCCCTGGCCTGACCTGGTTTGAACCCTGAGGATAAAGTCCGGTGAGAGCCCCCCATCCCAGCCTGTCACACACCAGGAGCCGGGAACCCCAGACAATGGCTCCCTGACCCAGGCCTGGCCCGTCAGAGTCCCTGCCACCCAGGACAGACGCCCAGACAGGTGCTGGGAAACCACACCAGACGCGCCCCGAGACGGACCGGTTGTCACAAAACAGCACGCAGCGTGCGGAGCCCAGGCTTTGGCGGTTTTGATAGCCAAGGCCCCAAACTCAGGAGGATCCGGCAGCAAAACACCTTGACACGGGGCCCATGAACCCAAAGAACAGGACACCCCGAGTACCCCAATCGGGCACCCCAAAAGGGAGACCCTGCCAACACTGGGGTTTCCCAGATGCTGACCAGGGGAACCCCAAATGTAGGCATCTGTGAGCTTTGCAGGCACCCTGAGAAAGAGGCCCCTCTGCAACTGCCAAGACCCTCCCTCACCTGCCCACCCCCATCCCAGGGTGAGGGCCTTACCTTCTCAAACTCCAGCCGGATGGGGGAGGGGAAGTGGCCGGACACCCAGTCTGCAGCCTCCCGCCCCAGAGCCATCGCTTCCGCCACGGAGGAGACACCAAACCGGCACATGACGGAGTCGGTGTCGCCGTACACCACCTGGCGGGGAGGGGCGTGTGACCGCGGGCCCGTGCTCCCCGCACCAGGCCCATCCCAGGCCCGTTCCGGGCAGCGGGCGGGGTGGCCCTGACCTTGGCGCTGGCGCTGTAGCCGTTCTCCACTGTGTACTTGGACTCCACCAGCTGCTTCGTTTTCTCAATCATCTGGCGGCCGAACCCGGTGACGCTCTGTTGGGGAGAGAATCGCGGTGAGGGCCCAGGAGCCGTGTGCAGCGGACACGCACTTGGGGGCCCACCTCCACGGCTCCTTGTAGGTGTGGGCCTGGGCAAGCCATTCTATCCCTTTGTGCGTCCGTTTCCCAATCTGTCAAGCGGGGCTCCTGAGCTGGTCCGCAGCGGTCTGTGGGGAAGAGCGGGCTCCTGGTGGAGGAGGAAGAGCTGCATCGAGTGGAGGTGCTGCAGCCAGAAGCAGCCGTGAGCTCGGGGTCTCTCTCCACAGGGGTGCCGTGACCACTGATGTTCATGGCCTCTTCCCCCCAAGTCAGCAGGGCCTCCCTCCCCCACCCCCCATCTTTGGGCAACTGGGAATGACACCACACAGCCCAATGCCCCCAGGGAGGGGTCTGCACCAGCTCCATGAAGAAACATACCTGTCCAACAGTCATACTTTACAAATAAGGACACTGAGGCTGGGGGAGGGAGGAGGGGCACAGGTAAGGTAAGACGGGTGTGATTCTTCTGTTTTTGTTTGTTTGGGGCCAGTCAGAAAAGCTTTGTCTTTTAACTAGAGCATTTAGGCCACTTACATTTAGTGTAATTAATTACTCATTAGCTCTGGACTTCAATCCACCACTTCACTTAATCAGCCTTTTATTTGTTCCACCGTTCCATGTCCCTTTTGCTTTCCTACCTTTTTCTGGAATGATTTCGTATTTTAAAATTATTCCATCTCCCTGCTCCCAAAAACTTGAGGCAGAAATAAGGAAAGAAGCTAAGAAACAGAGGGGAGGAACTGCGAGGGAAAAGACCTAGCGACACGGCCAGGAAGCGGCAGTCCCCACTGAGGGAGCCCTGGATCCCGGGGGAGCAGAGCCGCATTTTCCCACCGGGCCTTGCTCAGGGGCTAAACCAGGGGTGGGCGAACTTTTTGACTCGAGGGCCACAATGGGTTCTTAAACTGGACCGGAGGGCCGGAACAAAAGCATGGATGGAGTGTTTGTGTGAACTAATATAAATTCAAAGTAAACATCATGAAATAAAAGGGTACGGTCTTTTTTTTTTTTAATTTTATTCATTTCAAGCGGGCCGCATCCGGCCCGCAGGCCGTAGTTTGCCCACGGCTGGGCTAAACCCTAAGGGCCAAACACCCAGGGGCTGAGGGAAGCCCAGCACTGGGTGGTCAATGGCGATTGGTTAGCCCCTGGGAGTGAGCTTCTCGCCCTTGGAATGTCCTGCCTGATGAGAGTCTTTGTTCACCTGGGGCCACATGGTATCAGCTTGACCCTGACATGGGCTGAGGACCCGTCAGCCACACAGGGGTCAGCCATGCCTCCGGGACCAGCCTCCCTGTGGGCCTCACCCCGGGGATGCTGCCACGCACGACGGGAGGAATAAGCAGTCCGCACGACCCACTGGAGACAACGGACGCTGTGCCTGGTCTCCGGACCCTGCCCCACGGGCCTCCTCCTTCGGCTGGTGTTAATCCCTCTCCTTTCACTGTATCAAATCATAACTGTGAGTAAACGGCTCTTCTGAGATCTCTGAATCCTTCTAGTCAATCACTGGATCTGAGGGGTCTCGGGGGCACCACTGAACTGCATGTGGGAAGGAATTCCTCCAAACCTTTCGCCTAGAGGCCTCGCACAATGGCCAGACAGGGAGGGAGCTCCCCATGGCTGGAGGTAACCAAGTCTGGACAGGAAGACTTTTCAAAGGACCTCTTGGGCCGCGAGCTGAGGCGCCGCTCCCAGCTGGGCAGAACCTCAGAGCCTCTGTGGTCTCACTGGGGTCTGTTTTCCTGTCCCGGGAGCACAGCTGCCTCCAGTAAACAGGCCTAGGATGCGACTGGGGGTGGGGAGGGAGGCCACGGGCCCAGTTCCTCCTCAGCACAGAGCACTAAGCGAGCACCCACTCAACATCCCCAGGGGGGACCTCGCCGCTGGAGGGGGGACCCTCCTGTCTAATCTGACGGTGACCAAGGACACACAGCAACCCACGGGCGAGCCTGACTGTGCTGTGGGTGACCCCCCGTCCGGCCCCAGGACCCGACCCCCAGCAGAGACTAGCCTCGTTCTCCCATGAGCAGGAGGGAGGGGGGCCTGCCCGCCACTCCCCCACCCCCATGGGGACCGGGGAGGATGTGGGCTAGGGTGCAGCTGCTGGGGACATGGGGGTGACGGTGGCAGATGAAGAATGAGCAAAGCCGCTGCTCTCCCCCACGGCCCTCAGCCTCTGCCTGCCCTGCCCATGTGTCTGCAGGACCCTGGCAACGCCTGCCTTCCCGTACACATTCACGCCCACGGGCTGTGTCCCCGAAGGGCTGGGCACTGCATGAGGGTTCCCTGTGCAGGAACTCTCACTGGCCCTGCCACCTGCTGGACCCACAGGGCACAAGGCCCAACCGCTGGCAGCCTGGCAAGCATTTGGTGAACAACAGAACGGACCCATCACTCAAGCACCCTCTCCAAAAGGCTGGCGAGCGGGCGGCCCCTCCCGCGGGCCCTGGTTCTCCCAGAAAGTGCTGTCCGACCCCAGCTGCCCGCCGTGGGGCCTGAGCACTCACCTGGGAGATCTCCAGGCACGGCAGCTTGCCCACCTGGGCGCCGGTGAAGCCGTACACAGAGTTGGCGCTCACTTTCAGCGCCAGCTGCCGCCCGTCCAGGACCTGCCGCCGCAGGGGGTCTGTCTCCTTGGCCAGCTCAGCCTTGGCCCTGGGGGGAGGGGAAGCACGGCACTCAGGTGGCACCCAGGTCTCGGGGAGACGAGGCCCGGGTCTGGGCACGCAGTCAGGGTGCCTCTCTGGGAAGGGGTGCGTGTGTGGCTGTGTGTGCCGTGTACTGCACAGGGGCAGCAGGCACAGGGGCGGCGGGGAGCTGCCGGAGGGGGCGACTCGTTCTAATTCCCACACAGACAAAGTGAAGGTGCCCAGCAGCGCGGGGACCCACGAGGGACAGGGTCACCCACGGGGGAGCCTCAGCAGGTCCAAGCTCTGAGCAGGGTGGGCGGGGGGGCCGGAGCCCACCTCTTCCGGGCGCTGAGCAGGTTCTCCAGGATCTGGGGCAGCAGCCCCTTGCGCACCGACGTCTTCACAAACTCGTCCCCGGTGGGCGTCTTGATGAACTGGTCCTCAGTCAGGCTGGGTCGGGGATGGCAGGGGGTGACGCCCGGCCTCCATCTCAGACCTCCCCCTTGCCTCTCCCCTCCCCACTATTTCTGTCCCCCACCCCACCCTGCCTGAGCCCGGCCCTGGCAGTCTTGGGGCCCTCATGCCGAGGGGGTGCCGTACCCCAGTTTCTGGGCGGCGCCTGGCCGCAGGAGCGTGGTGTAGCACAGGTTGTGGGCCATCATGATGGACGGGTACAGCGAGGAGAAGTCCAGGGTGGTGATGGGGACGTCGTAGTACCTGGGAGTGCCAGCAGTCAGGGCGAGACCCCTCGCCACCCCCACACCAGCCCCGCCCGGCCAGGGGGCTCACCCTTTAAGGGGCTCGATGACCGTGGCTCCCGTGTAGTCCTCGCCGCCCTCTGTCTTCACCACGGGCATCAGCAGCCCCTCGCGCATGGCCTGGGCGGGGAGAAGGCAGGAAACGGAGGGTGGGCGCGGACAGGGCAGCCCCATGGGAACAGGCAGAGGGAGGGGCCGCCGCTAGGGACAGAAACCCTCCCTGGGCTCTGCCACTGACCTGCCGCAGCAGCTGCGACACCACCTTGACCTGCTGGCCGCGGGTGAGCAGGTAGCCGAGGGGCACGCCGGTGACGCGCGCCATCTCCATGGCGTTCACCAGCACCATGAGCCGCTCCAGCAGCCGCAGCGGCAGGAAGGCGTCCTTGAGGCAGTACACTGCCAGGCGGCGGCGCGTCTGGTCGTTCCCGTTCTGGGGACAGACACCGATGGCGTCAGGGTGGAGGGCGGGGAGGGCCAGGGTCTGGGTGGGGAGCAGGCAGAGGTCAGGGAGTTGACAGGTGGGAGGGAGTCTGAAAGGCTGGTGTAGACAAGTACAGAATCAAGGTCATGTGAGCGGGCAGAAAAATGACATCTGCAGGGCGGGGTCAGAGGTTAGGGGCAGGAGGCCAAGGTGAAGGTAGGAGCACAGGCTGAAGCCCAAGGTCAGGAAGTCGGGTGGAAGGCTGAGGTCAGAGGAGTAGATCAGGGGCAGGAAGTGGGGTCAGAGGTTAGAGACGGGGCAGAGGTGAGAGACCGGGGCAGGAGGTGGGGTCAGAGGTCAGGGCTGAGGCTCACCTGCAGGTCGGTGATGATGCTGTGCTGCACGTCCTCCTTCTGCTCCCCCAGGAAGTGGAAGCTCACGGCGTTGAGCGTGTAGGAGCGGAGCTTGTGCTCCCGCAGCAGCACCTGGGGCGGAGGCGCAGGGTGGGCACAGGCCCCGGGCAGCGGCCCCACAAGGACGAGGCCAGCCCACCCGGCCGGGCCGCACCTGCAGCATGTCCATCTGCACGCGGCCCACCATGCTGACCACCTTGCTGTCCCGCCGGCCAGTCTGCTTCGACTGGAAGGACGAGTCCCGGATGGTGGAGCGGAGGCCAGCCACACGGCCCAGGAAGGGGAAGTCCTGCACCTGAGGGCACAGCAGGTGGAGCTGCAGACGGGCCGGGCGCCTGACCCGGGATCCCAGGCCTGTGCCAGAGGAATGGAGACCGGACCACCCATGCCACTCCCCACAACACAGCTCTTCCGGCTGGAGGGGCCGGGGGGCCGGGGCTGGGCAGGTGTGGACTAGAGGGGAGGACGGGAGACCGGACCGGGAGAGCCAGGGGCCTGAGGGCTGTGAGGGTAAAGGGGGCAAGGACGGCTCGAATGGCTGGAGGGCTGCACCCAGATGGGGAGCCGGAGGAGCAGGTGGGATGACGCCAAGCTCAGTGGGAAGGTGGTGGGTGCACGGGGTGGGGGCCTGGGGAAGGGCCAGGTGGGAGCACGGGGTTGGCACAGAGAACCAGGTCTGGGGTCAGGAGAGGCGTCTGCCCTGGAGACGGTCGCCTGGGAGTGGCCAGGCAGAGAGCAGAGGCCTGAGCTGGGCTGGAGCCACGGGGCAGAGGGAGGGGGGCCTGACCCAACACGCCTCGATCCTCAGAAGGGGCGATCTGAGCAGACAGGCGCAGAGGCGGGCGCAGCGGAGGCGGGAGAGCGCCATCTAAACCCAGGAGGCCTCAGAGGGCACTGAGCCTGCGGCACCCGGATCTTGGACTTGCAGCCTCCAGGCAGCCCTGGTGAACTAACACACCTCGTACCCTGTGCTGGGACTCAATGGGCATCCGGGTCTCACCACACACTTCAAGGAACACCCCCATTTCCTTATTGGTTTTTTAAGATTATTTTAGCCTGAGCCGGTTTGGCTCAGTGGATAGAGCGTCGGCCTGCGGACTGAAGGGTTCCGGGTTCGATTCCGGTCAAGGGCACATGCCCAGGTTGTGGGCTCGATCCACAGTAAGGGATGTGCAGGAGGCAGCTGATCAATGGTTCTCTCTCATCACTGATGTTTCTCTCTCTCTCTCCCTCTCCCTCTGAAATCAATAAAAATATATTTTTTAAAAAAGATTATTTTAATTGATTTTTAGAGAGAGAGGAAGGGGTAGGAAGAGAGAGAAACATTGATGTGAGAGCAGAACACTGATCAGCTGCCTCCTGCACGCCCCCCACCAGGAATCGAACCCACAGCCCGGGCATGTGCCCTGACTGGGAATCGAACCGGCAACCTTTCCATGCACAAGACAACATGCGACCAACTGAGCCACACTGGCCGGGACCCCATCTTCTAATTTAATTTATTATTATTTGTTAATCCTCACCCGAGGATATTTTTTCCACTGATTTCTGGAGTGGAGGGGAAGGAGGAGGGCGAGAGACAGATGGAGGGAGGAGGGGGAGAGAGAGAAACACCAACATGACAGACACACATAGATTGGTTGCCTCCTGCAAGTGCCCCTACGGGGGCTGGGGAACCTGCACCTGAGGTATGTGCCCTTGACCGGGAATGGAACCTGTGACCCTTTGGTCCACGGGCCAACACTCTAACCACTGAGCAAACCAGCCAGGGCCCCGTTTCTTTATTTGCTGCTGACGTATGTTAAAGCCTAGAAAATCAGATGGACACGGACAACAGGGGGATGAGAATATGAGTGCGGGGCGGGGGGGAGGTTGGGGGTTAATTGGGGGATGAGGACACATTTGTAATACCTTAACCAATAAAGAAATTAAAAATAAATAAATAAATAAAATAAAATGCATCTGCAAGACAAAAAAAGAAAGAAAATCAGGCCCTGCACCCCTGCACTCACATCCTGACCTCTGAAGGCACAAGCCTTCTCTTACTCAACCGTAAACACCCTCCTAGCCTCCACACGCGTCCGGAGACCTGGACTCTGAGCAGAGCAGGGACAAGACAGCAGGGACTGGAGCTGCTGGGGCGGCAGGTGCAGAGCCAGGTGGACCTCCGTGGGGACAGGGCCACAGGGAGGGTTGGGGGAGGTGTAGGGCGCTGTCTGAGGTGAGCCTCCCCTGCCGTGGCCTGCCCTACCTTGAGGTGCTGGGCCCGGGAGATGAGGTAGGGAAGGTCGAAGTTCTGGATGTTGTAGCCGGTGATCACGTCGGGGTCTACGGTGCGGATGAAGGTCGACCAGGCCTGGCGGGGGGCGGAGGCACACTCGGGGTCACTCTGCTTGTCCTCTGGTCACCCCCCTGCCCCGTTCCCCCCCGATGCTGGAATGTTCTGGAAGCCCTCCCGCTCGTGGTAGAAAGACCCGGCAGGTGCTGCTGGAAAGAACCGCTCACCCCTCAATGTGAAGGGGTCTGAACTCTTGGACGTGAGTCTTGGGATCAGGGGAGCTCAGAAAATGGCCTCAAGCCTGGGCTATGATGGTTCGGGTGGGGGACGCTCAGGAAAACGGGGGGGGGGACGCGAACGAGTCACCTGGAGCAGCTCCTCCTCCCGCTCGTAGCTCTGCACCTGGGCACCCAGGATGGGGGCGCAGGGCCGCAGGGTGAGCGCCAGGCGCAGGAAGGGCTCCGGCTCGCCCCAGCGCAGGCCCAGCGAGCAGATCTGGATCACGGGGTCCCGCTCGGGCTCAGGAAAGATGCCTGCACAGGGAGGGAGGGAGGGGATGTGGGGACCTGACCCCTCCTCGCCCTCAGGACACACCAGGGGGCGACACCTCTAAATCTCCCCTGGCCTGTCTACCCCGCTCCGTCCCGACTGCCCACAGACCCCGCCAGATCCATCCTGGCTCCCCTCTGCCTTCACCTCCTGCCTTCTCTCCCCCACACAGATGGGGATGGTCCTGCCCCAGGACCTTTGCACTTGCTGCTCTCTCTGTGGGAAATGCTCTCCCCACCCCCACCCCGTCTGGAGCCCCCTCACGCCACCGCCACCCTCGAGTCTTACAATAACCCAAACACCTGCATGTTTACTACCTCTTTCCCCAGAAGCACGGGGACCCAGGGTGAGACTGGCAAGTCACTGATCTAAAGGGAGGGAAGGGGAGCCCACACCCTGGGGACAGACCTTTGCGGCCGGCGCACTCGATGTCAAAGCTGAGCACACGCAGGGGTGCGATTCGCTGCCACTGCCCTTCTGGCGGGTGGCTGACCACGTCTGACCACAGTACGTCTGCCTCCAGCTGACACAGTGTGGCCTGCGGGGACAGGCGTGTCAGTGGCTGCTGGGTCCCCGGCTCCCTGTCCCCCACCCCTGGCGGGTCCGCACCTTCCCCTCCGGCCTCAGGACGTATTTCCCAGCGGGCAGTTCCAGCCAATTGCAGCCCACGATGTCCGCGTCCACCATGAACCTGGAGGGGGATGAGGTCAGTGGGCCGAGACCACCTGGGGGGTGGGGCGGAGGGCGGAGAAGCGAGGTGGGGGCTGGTACCGGATCTCAAAGTCAACGTTGGCCTCATAGGACGCAAAGCTGGGGGTGCCCAGGCCTGCCACACGGACTCCCTGCTCCAGGAGGCGGCGAGCGGGGGCCACGAGGCGGGGCAGAGCCAGGGTGATGCGCAGAAACGGCGAGGGGCCGTGCCCATGGTACCCGAACATGCCTGCGGGGGACAGAGGAGGCTGGCACCGGCCCAGGGGGACCCCACCAGCTCAGCCCCGGGCGGCACTCACTCTCCCGGGAGCACAGCTCCACGCCCAGCACGGCCGGCCCCTGGAGCTCCTTGCCCGCGCGCTGGTCCCGGCTGATGGCCCCGTTCAGCTCCCGCTGCAGGTCACCCAGGTGCTCGGGCCCAAAACCTGGGGGGGGGAGGGCTGGTCAGGAGCGCAGGGGCCACCAGGTGGTCAGGAGGAAGAGGGGTCTCCTGGGCCGGGGCCACTCACCCGGGGGCGCTGGGGTGTAGAAATAGGGGGCAAAGCCGTGGATGTGGCAGCAGACGGAGACGCCCTCATCGGTGACCCCAAAAGCGCGGAGCACAGGCACGGAGCTGCGGGATGGTGCAGGCGCCCCAGGCAGGGGCCGTGCTGGGCCTGGGGAGGGGACAGGCAAGGCGGGTGCCCCTCACATTCCTCAAAGGGCCCCCCGGCCCCTCCCGCCCTGGGAGCACAGCCCCCATTCCTGCAGCTTGAAGCCCTTCCGCCCACATCAGCTTCTCATGGGTCGTCTCAGCCCCTCTGTTTCCACCTGCCCCTGTGGTCCATTTCCCACCCACAGCTAGAGGGAGCCCCCGCCTGTTTATGAAAAAAAAAAAAAAAATCTTTGAAAAAGGAAAATGGACTCGGTGTGTTGTTATGAACTTGAACACGGGTGTAGGTTCGTGCAATCACCACCAAAACTGGGGAATGACCTGCAACCCCTGCAACTGAGGTCCATGCCCTTGACTGGAATCGAACCCGGGACCCTTCAGTCCTCAGGCCGATGCTCTATCCACTGAGCCAAACTGGCTAGCTGTCATTTTAAATAGCTCCCTTGAGCCGCCCCTTTGCAGTCATAGCCCCCTCCCCACCCCAGCCCCTGGCACATGCACCCGACCCCCTCGCCAGACTCCTCGTTGCCCAGCGCACACCGCCCTGGTCTCCTGGGCCAGCTCCTCCCACACACAGAGCCAGAGGGGCTGACCTGGGCCCTGCTCCCCCCAGGAGCCCAGGGCCCCGCCTGCCACCCTCCGGGCCTGTCCCCAAACTCACCCACATAATGGTCGATCTCCAACTGCTGGAAGATGAGGGGTTCCGTCTGGGGGTCCAGGGAAGGTGGGGTGGGCCGAAGCCAGCGGGCATCTCTGGCTGTCGGGGAGAAGTGCCCTGGGGGGGGGGGGGGCGGTGGATGACATGACGCTAAGTGGAGCCGGGATCCTCCCTCAGACACAAGCAACCACCCTCCCTCTCAGCCCGGCCCAGGCGGCTTCCCAAAATGCAAAAGGAAGGTCCGTGGAGGTGGTGGCTTAGATCAGGCAGGAAACTCGGAAGAGATTGCCAGGCCGAGGGGTCAAGGTCAGAGTAAAAGCAGCAGGCAACAGAGGGGGCATACTGGCACGGGGTCAAAGGCCAGCCCGATGTGGAGCCCAAAGTGGGCCAGAGGTCAGAGGTTACAGGTCAGCTCTGTGGCTGACTCTCAGTTCAGAGGCAAGAAGGGTGGGGGGGCTCCCGCTCCAGGTCTCACGGTCAGCAGCCCCCTCCTGGGCCGACTGCAGCTCCTCCTCCAGCTCCTGCAGCCTGCGCTCGGCCTCCATCTCCTCCATCAGCGCCAGCTCCTCCTCAAACTGGGATGGCCGAGGGGCCTCATCCTCATCCCAGAGGCCCCCGCGGGCCCGCTTCGGGGGCACCCCGGCCCCGGCCCCCGGGCCCGGCCGCCGCTTGTCATACATCCTGGGGGCCAGTGGGGGCTGGGTGAGGGCTCCTGTCCCCCCCACGGCCTCCGCGCACCCGCGGCTGAGCCTCAGAGCTCTGCGGGCTCACAGGAGCTGGCGCATCCCCGACGCGCAGTCACCATCAGTGTAACTACGCCCGCTGCCACCGTCTAACCCTTTCCTCATGCCCCAGCCCTCCACATCCTTTCACCCGTTCGCCTGCCCCCTCTCCGGCACAGCCTTGGTCCTCAGCTCTCCCCTCTTTCCTACCAGCTGCCCCCAGACCCTCGCCTACCCATCACCCAGCATCACCCACGGGCCGGCCTCCGTTCACCCAGCGGCTGGGAAGTGCCTCCTCCAGGCCAGTCACTGCGCTGGGCGCCAGCGAGTGGCTGAAACACCAATCTGACCAGGTCCCGTCCCAGCCGAACACACTTCAGAGGCTCCCGTCCCGTTAAACACAAAAGCAAAAGCCCTTCTTACTTTGAATGTGCACCGTTCCCCCACCTCCCCAGGCCGCAAGGTACTGCCACCTCTGCTTTCACTCCCGCTGCTCCCGTATGTAATACGCACGTGTCGTCATAACTTACGTACGTTTCTACACTGAGTGGCCAGATTATTACGACCGCCCCATCAGTACAATGAAGCGAATTAGTTATGCAAATAATAATAATAATAAAACCTTGAGAGTATCTGCTTAGGAAGTTTTCAATATTCAGTATTTTTGGAAGTGTCAATGCAGTACTGATGGGCTGGTCATAATAATCTGGCCACTGAGTGTGGTCTTCTTAATTGTAACCTATCAGAAATTATTTTATTTTATTTTTTTAAAATATATTTTATTGATTTTTTACAGAGAGGAAGGGAGAGGGATAGAGAGTCAGAAACATCGATGAGAGAGAAACATCGACCCGCTGCCTCCTGCACATCTCCCACTGGGGATGTGCCCGCAACCCAGGTACATGCCCTTGACCAGAATCGAACCTGGGACCTTTCAGTCCGCAGGCCGACGCTCTATCCCCTGAGCCAAACCGGTTTCGGCAGAAATTATTACTTTAACAAGATATATATATTCAGTCCTCACCTGAGGATATTTTTCCGTTGATTTTAGAGAGAGTGGAAGGGAGAGGGAGAGACAGAGAGAAATACTGATGTGAGAGAAACACATCAGTTGGTTGCCCCCTGTACGCACCCCCGTGGGAGGCCGTGGGGAGGACAGGAGCCCTCACCCAGCCCCCACGGGCCCCCAGGGCCAAGGCTGGGGAGGAGCCTGCAACCGAGGTACGTGCCCTTGACCGGAATCAAACCTGCAACCCTTTGGTCCACAGGCTGACGCTCTATCCACTGAGCCAAACCGGCCAGGGCTTGACAACATATATTGATATAAAGGAACACATCGTCTGGTAGACTGAAGACTGCACTCAGGATAAGCCTATTCGATTCGGTAACTTCACTGTGACCCAGTAAGAGAATATTCTAAGGAAACACACACTCAGGTATTCAGGGGTAAATGGCCATGATGTATACAAGCTACTCTGAAAGTGTTTTTTTGAAGTGTGCATGCAGATCATAACACAAACAGGGTAGAATGTGAAAATAGGTGACGCTGGGTGAAGGGTGAACAAGTGTTCTTTGTCGTATACCTTCCTATACATTTGAAATTATTAACAAAGAAAAAGTTGTAGCCCTAGCCGGTGTGGCTCAGTGGATAGTGCTGGCCGTGCACAGAGGGTCACAGGATCCATTCCCAGTCAAGGGCATGTACCTGAACTGCAGCTTCGATCCCCAGCCCCAGTCGGGGCATGTGCGAGTGGCAACCAATCAACGTGTCTTTCTCACATAAATGCTTCTCTCTCTCCCTCTCTTTCACTGTCTCTAAAAATCAATGGGAAAATATCCTTGAGTGAGGATTAATATGAAAGGGAAAAGGGAAGGAAGAGAGGGAGGGGGCGGGGAGAGAGAGAAAGAAATGAGGAATTGTAAAACAGTACGTGTCTCCCTGGCTGAGACCGGGGATTACAGAAACCTACAGCAGATCCCAGCCCCAGACAGGAGGGAGGAGGAGGTTCGGGACAAATCAGCTGTCCCAGGTTCAAGGGAACACCTCCGGATCCCATAACTACCCCCCAGATCCCGTCCCCCTTTGATCCTTTCTTTGGCAACACATTCTTCGCCTTGGAGGCACCACAAGCCAACAAGCTCAAGACTAGATTTCCCAGGATGCACTGCTAGATGGTGGTCACAGGATCAAGTTCTAGCTCACGGACTTAGGGTGACTGTAAGGAGTGCGACGTTCAGGACAGCCCGAAGAGGAAGCCTGCCCTCCCTCCTCTTTCTGCCCCCTTCCAGGCGGCCGGAGCGTGACTGTGGTGGCCACGAGCCAACCTTGACCACCAGGACAAGGGCAACACTGCAGGGCACACAGAGCGACAAGACGGAAGGAACCTGGGCCCTCAGCAGCCTCTGGGGCACACCTGCCTGCCTCTGGACAGTTACGTGGCTACACAGATTGGTATCCTGTCTGGGCCACTGTGCTTTGGAACCTCTGTTACAGAGTTTAGCCTAGACCAGCGGTTCTCAACCTGTGGGTCGCGACCCCTTTGGCGGTCGAACGACCCTTCCACAGGGGTCGCCTAAGACCATCCTGCATATCAGATATTTACATGACGATTCATCACAGTAGCAACATGACAGTGATGAGGTAGCAACGAAAATTATTTTATGGTTGGGTCACCACATGAGGAACTATAGTTAACGGGCCAGAAGGTTGAGAACCACTGGCCTAGACCACGACATCACAGAAAAATTCTGGACTGGGGTGTGTTACAGCAAATGTTGGTCCACAATGGAATTATCTCTCAGCATTAAAAAGGAGGCAGCTGCCCTGACCGGTTTGGCTCAGTGGATGGAGCGTCGGCCTGCGGACTGGAGGGTCCCGGGTTCGATTCTGGTCAGGGGCATGTGCCTTGGTTGGGGGCACGTCACCAGTGGGGGGTGTGCGGGAGGCAGCCGATCGATGTTACTCTCTCATCGATGTTTTTGGCTCTCTGTCCCTCTCCCTTCCTCTCTGTGGAGAAATCAATAATATATATATATATATATATAAAGAGGCAGCTACTGATATACACACAGGATGGACGTATCTCAAACGTGTAAGAGAAGCCAGGCACATGAGTGCACACTGGGGAAGGTGGGAGTGACTGCAAATGGGAAGGGGAATGTTCTTCCATTCTGGGCTAATGGGAATGTTCTAGAACTAGAGAGGTGGTGGCTGCACAAGACTGTGAGTGTCCTAAATGCCACTGGCTGTGCGCTTTAAGATAGTTAATTTCACCTCAATTTTCTTTCCTTTTTTGTTAATCTTCACCTGAGGATATTTTTTCCATTGCTCTTCAGAGAAAGGAGGGGGCGAGAGAGAAACATTGATGCAAGAGAGAGAGACACATCGACTGGTGCCTTCCGCACGCTCCCTGACTGGGGTGGGGAGCAAACCCCAACCCAGGTACGTGTCTGTGACCAGATATCAAGCCTGCGACCCTTTAGTGCACAGGCTGACACTCCACATCGATTTTTAAAAACTGAGTGAATACTGTATGACGGCATTACACAGGGTTCTAGCATTGACTGACCTCTAATGCTAGAGACCAGGCTAGCAGCTGCTTCTGGTGGGAGACTGACTGGGGGGGGCCATGGGGGAATTCTCTGGGTGATAGCAACATACTGTACATCCAACTGTACGCTCGAGACCGTGCATGCCACTTTATGCAAATCAGACCTCAATTAAAAACATAAAAGGGGGGGCAGCCATATTCCCACATCCAGGGGTTTATGCTGCAGATATACTATCGCACAATGAAAAACTGCATTTACGAGGTTATTTCCGGCGGCATTGTTTGCCATCTCAAAAGACTGGAAACCACCTAAATGTTCTCCCCTGGGGGACTGTTTGAATAAATCCCATTAATTCCGCCCCATGGAATATTATGCAGCTGGATAAAGGAATGAGGAAGCGCTCTGTGTGCTGACCTGGAGGGCTCTCAAAGACGCATTGTTAGGGAGCGAAAGCAAGGTACAGAAGGGTGGACTTAGAGTGTTATCTTTTGGACTCAAAAAGTTGTTTAAGCCGACCGGTTTGGCTCAGTGGATAGAGCATTGGCCTGTGGACTGAGGGCTCCCGGGTTTGATTCCGGTCAAGGGCATGTACCTTGGTTGCGGGCACATCCCCAGTAGGGGGCATGCAGGAGGCAGCTGATCGATCTCTCTCATTGATGTTTCTAACTCTCTATCCCTCTCCCTTCTCTGTAAAAAATCAATAAAATATATTTAAAAAAATAAAAAGTTGTTTAAGAAAATGCGGGACACGGGAAGCTGAGGGGCTTACAGGAGCCCTGAGGAGAGGCCTGGCCTGACCTGGCAGAGAAAGGCAAAAGGGGGCTGCCCTGGGTCCATGGGCTGTGGCCAGCGGGGTGTGGCGGAGGGAAGGTGTCACTAGCAGCAAAGTCGAGGTCCCTATCCCTGGCACCATCCTAAATGCACCCTCAGGCAAGGCAGTGTTAGAAGGAAGGAGGCCCCTGTGTGTTCCCTCAGCTGCCCTGGCACCAGACGGGAGCCTGGCAAACTGTACTCCCTTCCCGGCCCTTCGGCAGCAGATCCTGAGCAGCGCCCGCGGCAGTAACACAATGCGGAGTGCCCGCTCTGGGTCAGTGCTGGTTTCTCTGTGACCCGCACTCCCTCGGTGCTCACTGCACTTCACCTAATTGCGCGGCAGTGTGTGTGTGTGTGAGTGTGTGTGTGTGTGTGAGTGTGTGTGAGTGTGTGTGTGTGTGTGTGTGTGTGAGTGTGTGTGTGTGTGTGTGTGTGTGTGTGTGTTAATTGCTTTTAGAGATCGAGAAAGGGAGAGGGAGAAAGAGAAGCTTCGATGTAAAAGAGAAACATCCATCGGTTGCCTCTTGCACGCACCCCAACCAGGGATCGAACCCGCAACCTGGGTACATGCCCTGATGGGAAGTGATCCCACAGCCTTTCGGTGCGAGGGAGGATGCTCCAACCACTGAGCCACACCGGCCAGGGCTAACCTCACGGCTTTAAATGCCATCTCCATGCCGATCACTCCTGCCTTTGTGTCTCTGGCCCCGACCGCTCCTCGGGCTCCAGGCTGACCGGTCCAGCTGCCCACTGTGGGGACGTCTCTCCGGGCACCTCAGACTCCAAAGCCAGCTCCTGATCTCGCCCCAAACCTGCTCCTCGCACCTCATGGACTGTCTCCCCTATTCAACAAATGGCAGCTCCCATCAGGCCAACTACTGTGGGGTCACCCCGACTTCTCTCTTCCCCTCAGGCCACGTGCTCACTCTCTGCAAATCCCGTCAGCTCTGCCTCCCAAGAGACCTAAGTCCCACAGCTTCTCAGCCCCCAGCTACCCGCCTGGCCCCTCTGTTCTCTCAGGCTGCTGCTGGCTTCTTTATTTTGCACATTGCTGTTGGTCTGTCTCCCCCTGCTGGAAGATGAGCTGTGAGGGCCACGACCCGTCTGTTTGTTTACTGAAATACGGCAGGAGTCTACTAGTGTTGGACACAGAGAGGGTCCTCGAGAAATACCTGTTGAGCCCTAACCGGTGTGGCTCAGTGGATAGAGCATCACCCTGCGGACTGAAGGGTCCCAGGTTCGATTCTGGTCAAGGGCATGTACCTTGGTTGCAGACACATCCCCAGTGGGGAGTGTGCAGGAGGCAGCTGAATCGATGTTTCTCTCTCATCGATGTTTCTAACTCTCTATCCCTCTCCCTTCTACTCTGTAAAAAAAATCAATAAAATATTTTTAAAAAAATAAAAAGAAATACCTGTTGAGTGAGTAAAGAGCCTTTCCAGGGCTCCCTCATTCCACCCCGCCCCCCTCAGTGTATTCTCCACACAGCAGTCAGCAGGATCCTGTACAAATGTCAGATCAGCCCATCCCTTCTCTGCTCAGAGCCCACCCCCGGGGCCCGTCTCACACTGAGTTAAAGTCCTCATCGTGGCCCCCAAGACCCTGCACAATCGCCTCGTTTCCTTTCAGACACCACCTCCCACTCTCTCCCCCCTGCTCACTCGGCTCCAGCCACTTGCCTCCTCTCTGCTCCTGAAGCACGCCAGGCTTAGTCCCTGCCTCAGGACCTTTGCACAGGCTGCTCCCGCTGCCCGGGCCAAATGTTCTCCCCCAGATGGTACTATGGCGTCCTCTCTCCCCTCCTTCCGGTCTTTGTTCAAATGTCAGTCTCAGTGAGTCCTGTTTAAAAGTGCAGCCCCACCGCCCCATCCTGACACCTCCAACCCCTTTCCCTGCTTTATTTTTCTTGCTGCCACTTGTGACTGACTGGTGCCCTGTATCAGTTCTCCGAGTTCTCCAAGTGCGGCCCCTGGATTAGCAGCCTGAGCCCTGGGTGGGAACTGGTTGCAATGCTAACGGTCGGGCCGCTGCCCGGACCCACTGAATCCGGCCCTCGGCGCTCAAGTCTGAGAACCATGGCTTATCGGTCTCACTTCCTGCCTGTCCCCACAGGGAGAACGGGAGCTCTGAGAACAGGGACTAGATCTTTTGTTTCCTGCTGTGTCTCATGCACCCTGCCAAGCACCTGGGACAGAGGACACACTCAATAAACAGCTTCCAGAAGAATGAAGGAGGAATGAAGCATGGAATTGTCACAAAAACTTCTGAGGGAGGTGCTGTCGTTACCCTCCAACACATACAATTACTGGGACCCAGGCCCAGAGAGGGGAAGCTACCTGCCCAAGGCGGCACAGGTAGCTCAGAGGGGAAAGCCAGGGTCCCAGCCAGGCAGGCAGACTGCGGAGCCTACGGCTAACCAGCACTCCAGAGTGCCGGCCTCTGGGCGCACCGGGTAAGGTACACAGGGCAGAGCCCGGGCCTCCCCGCCTCCTGCTGCCCTTGTCATGCCGGGGACCATCGGGCCTGTGTCTCAGACAGGGACCCCTCAGAGGGCCAGGCAGGGCCTGGCGCTCCTCTGAGCTGCATCGCCCAGCACAGGGCGTGGCCTTGGGAAGTGTTTGCTGAACGAAACCCTCCTTTTTCTCGGCCACCTCACTCCAGACTGACCCTCTGCCCCCTCGGGGCTCCCACAGCGCCTTGTGCCACGTCTGTCATTGCACACGTGCACCCCAAGCTGGGGGTGCTTCAGGCTGCGAGCTCCCCCAAAATAGGGTCAAGGTCTCGCTCACGTCGGGGTCCCCAGCACAGGGCCAGTTTAGACTGCTCTCGAGTGTCCCAACCCCGTGAGTCTTCCCTGAGTCCCAGCTCCTCGGCCTGGGTGGAGAGCTCCTGTCCTTCTCCCACCTGAACTGAATTATCACTGGTTCCCTCATGCCCAGCACAGGACCTGCCACAGAGCAGCTGCCTGGAGGCCTGAAGCAAGGGCAGAGCATTGCAGCAGGAGGGACGGGTGTGGCAAAGGCCCCCCCCCACCCCCACCCCCAAGTGGGGAAGGAACCTAAGAGATGGGAGGCCTGGGTGGTGATGTGGCAACAACAGATTCTTAGAGTAGGTGGGGCTGCAAAGTCAGGACACTGACGTCACCCTGCCCTCTCTAAACCCTGCCACTCACCCCATCCCAGCGGTTCTCAATCTTCCTAATGCCGCGACCCTTTGATACAGCTCCTCATGCTGTGGTGACCCCCAACCATACAATTATTTTCGTTGCAACTTCATCACTGTAATGTTGCTACTGTTATGAATCGTCATGTAAATATCTGATGCGCAGGATGTATTTTCATTGTTCGCGACCCACAGGTTGGGAACCGCTGAAAGCTCTGCCTGCAGAGCGGCGCCCCCAGGCCCTGCTCTCCCTCGGCCTTCTCCATCCAGCCCCGCGTCCTGCTGGCTCAAACCCCACAGACAACCTGAGCCTGACAGGTTCCTTCCAGCTGCTTGCCTCCAGCTACCATTCCATCTTCTCCCCACCGGCCAGCTTCTCAAATCGCAGGGTGGGGTCACGTGGCTCCAACGCTGAAAACCTCCCAGGACGCCCCACTGAACCCAGAATAAGAGCCAAACCCCCCAGCAAGGTTCACAAGGCCCTACGGCAGCGGTTCTCAACCTGTGGGTCCCGACCACCGGAAAACACATGTAGCATGTCAGATATTTACATGACGATTCATAACAGTAGCAAAATTACGGTTATGAAGTAGCAACGAAAATAATTTTATGGCTGGGGGTCACCACAACATGAGGAACTGTATTAAAGGGTCGCGGCGTTAGGAAGGTTGAGAACCACTGCCCTACGGATCTGCTTCCCCACCTCGCCCCCACCCTCACCTGCTCCCTTCCGACCTCAGGGCCTTGGCACATGACGGTCCCTCTGCCCGGGTTTCTCGTTACGTGGCTGACTTCTCTCCAATGCCACTTCCCCCGAGGGGCCATTCCTGCCCACCGCAGCCAAGGCAGCAGGTGCCCTGCTCATGCCCCTTCGGACCAGGCATCAGAGCCTGAAAGCGCTGCTTCCCCGTTGCTCCTGACTACGGGCCCGCCGACCCTCCTGTCCTGTCCTTCTCTCACTGGTTCGTGCGGCAGCCCCTGCTTCCGTAACACCGTCCGGCACCGAGCGCTCAGTATTTGGGGAATAAAGGACCACACCAGGCCCCCACGTGCACAACTCAGTCCTCCCTGCCGCCGGGATCCGGTGGCCCCAAAGACCCTCCGGAAGGCGTGCCCCATCTCGCCCCGGGACTGGGTGCCCAGCGATGGGCGCCCAGCGGCAGGCCAAGGTACCCCCGGCCCCGTCATCTCCCCGCGCGCCCCCGAGCCAAGGGGGTCCCTCCCGCCGCCACGCCCTAGCGACCCCTCACGACCCTCTCTCAGGCCTACGCGCCGGCGCCTCAAGCCCCCTTCCCTGCCAGGCGGGGTCCCCGGCAATCCCCCCTCGTCCCTGTACTCACCCGCTTCAAACAGCGTTTCCCGCCACGGACTGCGCCGCCGTGACCCCTGACTCCAGCGCGCGCAGGCCCAGAGCCGCGGCGCGCCGAGCAGGCCACGCCCCTCACGCCCAAATAGGGCTAGACCACGCCCACCACGGCACCGGGCCACACCCCCTTCTTCCAAGTAGGGGAGGCCACGCCCCCTCCTTCCAATTGCAGGCAAATTCTCGAAAACACCCGCCTCCCTGTTGACTTATGCGGCCCAAAGCCACGCCCCTCCTTGCGGCTGCTTCGCGGCCACGCGAAGGCTGCGCGCGCAGCCACCCTGGGCACCACCCCCACCAGGCCCCGGGCGCTGCGCGCGCAACCTCCGCAACCCCTCCCGCCTGCTGCCCGCGGGGGCTTCCGGGGACCAGCTGAGCACCGGCAGCCCGACGTCCGCCCTGCCTGCAGAAGCTGCAGAAGCTGGGCTGTACGTGCTCAGGTCCGGCCTGATCTGTTGTCTGACGGCCTCAAGTTTCCCCATCTGTAAACTAGACCTAGCGTGGGGCGGGCACACCAGTGGGGTGGCGGGCACAGCAGCGGAGTGCCCAGCTCACTGTTTGTAACTACTCTCATCTCTGCAGTCCTCTCTCCCCCGTCCTACAAACCACATAACCTTTCAGTAACCAGCCCATCTCTCGAAGCAAAACCTCCCTCACCCTCAACCAGGGCTGTCCGTCGGCTAAGAGAACTCCTCGGTGCCCCTCCCTATTCTGAACTCACCAGGGCCTCTCACCTTCCACACCCAGCACGTGCCCTGCAACGTGGGGGCCCAGGCCCCGTGCTCTGAGGTTTAGGTCCCGGCTAGGACGTGATCTTTGGGAAGCCTTGCCTTTCTCCTCCGGCCCCCGCCTCCCGCCTCCCGCCCCCATTCCCCTGCATCCTAGCTGTCCCCATGCACTCCCCCGCTGCCACCTCTGAGGGACTCTGTCTTGTTTGCTGGTTTCCGATGCCTAAAATCGTGTTTGGCACATGGGAAACGCTCCATACATACCAGAAGGAATGGCATGTGTTCCCAGAACGGACACGGGTGGCTTCGGCAAGTACTTGTCGACGGAGGGACCGTCCCAGCCCCCTCATCCACGTAAACTGTCTTTCATGAGCTGCCTCCCACTCGCCTTACACAGGGGGCCGACCCTGAGGCCATCAGGGGCCTCTCCTGAACCCATCACTGCGAACACCCCTCCCACCCGCCCAGCAGCCGTCTAAAGCAGTGGTTCCCAACCTTCTGGCCCTTAAAATACAGCTCCTCATGTGGTGATCCCCAACCATAACATTATTTTCGTGGCTACTTCATAACTGTAATGTTGCTACTGTGATGAATCGTCATGTAAATATCTGATATGCAGGATGGTCTTAGGCGACCCCTGTGAAAGGGTCGTTCGACCGCCAAAGGGGTCGCGACCCACAGGTTGAGAACCGCTGGTCTAAAGGGCCAGTGTGGGGTCACTGGCGGCCCATCCCCAGCCCACCTCACACTCACTCTGGCTCAGGGCAGGTTTCTATTCGTATTTTATTTTCCCATTTTTTTGTGTGGTTTTTCTTTTAGTTTTTATTAAATAAAAGCAGAGGGAGAGGGGGCCTGCAGTCTCTCAGGCTGTGGGAGAGCCGTGGGCCTCCCCTCCCTCTGTTCAAGGTGCACTGCGCAGTGGGCTTGAGTGTAAGCTGGGCGGGAGAGCAGCTGGAAGTGCTTGGAGAGGTCAGAGGTCAGGGCCTGCGACCCATCCACACCTCCCAGGAAGACTCAGTGGGCAGGGAGGGAGCCTCCTGGACCCTGACGGGGGCTTATCCTGAGGGCTAAGGGCTGGCTGGGCCAGGGCTGTGCTCCAAGCCACAAGGTGGGCCCCCAGGCTCGGCTCCTTCCCCCCCTCCCCCAGGAGGAAGGCATGGCCACGTCCATTCGTTGGAAGGTGCAGGGCTGCGGGCAGGGTTGCTGGACCCTCACTCGTGGACGTCCCAGATCTCCGACAGCAGAGGCGGCAGCTTCTTGTCCTGGAGCCGCAGGGCGAAGACCTGCTCCGAGTGCACGGAGCTGAGCGTGCGCAGGCTCACCAGCTTCATCAGCATGCGGGGGAAGCGCAGCTGGTCCTGCCGGCGACAGGAGGACAGTGGGTGCCGGCCAGGCCCTGCGCTGTGAGGCTCTGGCCAGCCCGCCAGAGGGCCCCCTCCCCAGGCTGAGCCAGGAGAGCAAGCCAGTGTGGGCAGAGGCCAAGGAGAGCATGGGGACCCCGCCCCTGTGCTTGCACGAGGCGAGCTCCTGGGTGAGGGGACGGGGCCTGGGCACAGGCTCTGCTGAGAGGACATGGGCCAGAGCTCAGGGTGCTGCCGGGGGAGGCCGGACGCCGGCCCCAGCTGACCCCACGCGGGGCTGGACTTGCTGGGCCTCCCAGACCCCGGGAGCTGGTACCTGCGGCCTCTTGATGCGCGTGTAGGAGAGCAGCGCCTCCACGTAGGGCTGCTGCAGGGCCTCCACGCGGCTGGGCTCCTGCACGTTGGGGCGGTCGGCGGAGAAGATGTTGATGGCAATGAGGAGGGCGTACTCGGCGTCGTCCAGGCCCAGCCGCCGCATGGCCCGGGAGAACTCGAAGATGGGGTTGATGAACTCCACCTGCAGGCCTGCGGGGCGGGAGGCGGAGGCCCCCCCATAAACACGCCGCCCGAAACCGGCCCCCACGCCCGGCCTGACACTGCCCAGCGGGATGAGGAAGACGGCGGCCATGCTCGTGCTCCCGTCACCTCCGCTGGCCCGTGTCCCCGCTGCCTGGAGAGTGCCTGGCACGGAGAAGCTGTGCCATAAACCTGCCCCGAGTGAGGGAACGGGGTCTGAGAGCGGCCGTTTGGGCAGCAATTGCTACGCCATCACCACCTGCGCTTCTTCGGGCTTCCGGGGACCTCTCGGCAGGAAAAGGAGAGTCTGAAGCCCGGGTCACAGTGTGTCGCCCCCTGCGTGGGTTCCCCTGCCCTCAGTGGAACTCATCCCCAAGAGGGACTCATTCATTCATTCATTCATTCATTCGTTCATTCATTCGTTCGTTCATTCGTTCATTCATTCGTTCGTTCATTCATTTGTTCGTTCATTCATTCGTTCATTCGTTCATTCATTCGTTCGTTCATTCGTTCATTCATTCATTGATTCGTCAAACTTCCCTGGGCACCTACTACATGCCACTGGAGAGAGCCATTTACAAGCCAAAGTCCGTGCTCGGTGGAACTCACTTGGGAACGATGGATGTGTCTCTCTCCCTGCCTCTCCCTCTCAAATCAATTAGAACATATCCTCGGGTGAGGATTAAAAAAAAAAAAATGGGGGCCCTAGCTGGTTTTGCTCAATGGATAGAGCACCGGCCTGTGGACTGAAGGGTCCCAGGTTGGACTCCAGTCAAGGGCATGTACCTTGGTTGTGGGCTTGATCCCCAGTAGGGGGCATGCAGGAGGCAGCTGATCAATGATTCTCTCTCATCGCTGATGATTCTCTCTCTCTTTCCCTCTCCTTTCCTCTTTGAAATCAATAAAAATATATTTTTAAAAAATTGGGGGGAAAAAAAGAGAAACACACACACACACACAAAACAGGGGGGAAACATTGGGAAGGAAGTCAGGATAAGCTGGTACCCTAGTTCTGGGCAAAGGGACCAGCAAGTACAAAAGCTCTGAGGCAGGAGTACCTTTGATTATTCAAATAAGAAAGAGGAGACAGGAGGACAGGAGGAGAGTGAGTGAGGAGAAGGGCAGGAGATGAGGAAGGGGAAGGCATGGAGCCAGACCCTGCAGGCCCGTGGTAGCTTTCCTCCCAGGGGATGGGAGCCAGGGAGGGTTCTGATCAGAGGGACATGAGCCGATAGGGTGTTAATACTGGGCAGGGGTGGAGGCGGGAGACCAGTGAGGGACCCTGCCGTGGGCTAGGGAGACAATAGAGGCCTGGACTGTGGCAGTGGCAGAGGATGGGGGGGTGGGGGGAGCGGTGGGACCCCAACCTTTTCTCCAGCCTTATCTCTGCGCTCCAGCCGTCAAGGCTTCCTTGTAGTTCCTTAAAACTGCCCAGCTCTTCTCCACCTCAGGGCCTTTGCACATGCTGACACCCCGCCCGCTGTGCCCTGCTGACAACCTCCTACTTAAAGGGTGACTGACTGTCCTGGGTGATGGGAGGGCCGCGCGTTAAAGGGAAGAGGGGGTGAGAAGCAGACACCGGGGAGTACAGACAGGTGCCCCCGGGAGAGCAGGACTTCCTGAGAAAGACCAGAGGCCGAGAGAGAGGGGCCTCTGCACATGGGGTTCCCCCTGGGCAATGCTACTCCCCACCCCCCTTTTCCTTGGCGAGGCCTCTCAGCCCTCAGCTCGCCTGCACTTCCTCCACACGCCCACGCCCCCAAGTTAAGTGCTCTGAGAGAGGGCAGGGACTGGGGTTGCCCTACATAGCTGCGTAGGCTGCACACTTCACAATGGACTGCGAGCCAGCCGCCCTCGGGTGGGACCGGGCTGTGGGTGGACGGAGTGTCTTTCAAGCCCCACCAAGATGCCTTCTGGGATAGCAGGGCCCTCTGTCTCCTGCTGCACTGCGTCCCAGTGGGCAGCGTCAACCACCAATACACGTGCTCTTACCGCACTGCGGGGGGGCACTCAACCCTCACCCCACTTTTTTTTCTTTTTACGATTTTTTTTACTGAGAGAAGAAGGAAGAGGGAGAAAGAGAGAAACATCCATGTGATGTTTCTGTATGCCTCCTACGACCGGGGATCAAGGCTGCAACCTGGGCATGTGCCCGGACTGGGAACCGAACTGGCAACCTTTCGGTGCACGGGACGATGCCCGGCCAATTGAGCCACAGGCTCACCCCGCTTTAGAGATGGAAAAACGGAGGCTCGGCCAGGGACGAGGCAGCTGAGGCCTCCCAGGCAGGTCTCCCCACCCTGCCCCGACCCCCGCTGCTCTCAGCCGTACCTGCGCGATGGAAGTCGTCCTTGCTGTAGGTGAAGTCCTTCAGGAAAGTGATGCACTCCGTCTCGTGGTTGTAGCGTCTGGCCGTCTCCAGCAGCATGATCTGAGGGGGCAGCAGGGAGGGGGCAGGCAGGGGCGTGAGGAGCCCCTGGGACCCCTTTGGCCACCAGTCCCTCCTCTCCTGGCCTGGAAGGGGGCCCGATCTCACCAGGATCATCCCTGGTCCCTCTGCCACCCCCAACCCCCCCGTTCTCAGCCACAGCAGCCTGCAGTCAGCACGCTGGACGCCCCAAGCTCTCTCCCTCCTCGTTCAGCACCGTCCGCTCAGGACACGCTCCCCAGTGGTCAGCAGGCGCAGGGGAGGGCTGTGTGTGTTCTGTCCACTGACAGGTGCCCAGCACGTGGAAGGGAGCCTGGCACACACTAGGCACTCAGTCCTTATTTGTCACCGTTGCTTTGGCTCAAATGTCATCAACTCCGAACAGGCTTTGTGGCAAGTTCTCTCAAGTGTGTCCCTCCAGCCTCAGCCCATTTCCTTCCTCCCCTTGGCCCGTGGGAACCTCTGATGACCTTGTTTAGTATTTTGACATTCCTCCATAAGAGACAGGCCCACAGCCCCAGCTGGTTTGGCTCAGTGGATAGAGCATCAGCTTGCGGACTGAAGGGTCCCGGGTTCGATTCCAGTCAAGGGCACATGCCTGGGTGGTGGGCTCGATCCCCAGTAGGGAGCGTGCAGGAGGCAGCCAATCAATGGTTCTCTCTCATCATTGATGTTTCTCTCTCTCCCTCTCCCTTCCTCTCTGAAATCAATAAAAATATATTTAAAAAAACAAAAAAAAGATATAGGCCCACAATGGCAAGGACTAGGGGGGAATTGTGATTGTTCTAGGGCTTA